AGTCTGATTTTTCTTAAAATTCCACAGGAGATAGACTATAACATGTATATAAATTCTATTTTATGTAAGATTTTCTCAAATTTAGTGGCCATGTCTGTGGATGGATTAAATCCTCAACAATTTTTAAACTAGGTAAACATAAGGAACATTCAAGTGAAGTTTGGTAACATTTGGCGAAGTAGTTTAAGAGGAGATGATTGTATAAAAAGTTTATGACGATAACAAATGCTGGACGCCAATAGCTCATGCTTTTTTTAGGCCAGGAGAGCTAAAAAGGAAACAGATTAAATACAATTTTAGTCTTCTCAGAGACATTCCTTTTTTTACATGTAGGACATTGATAATATTCCTTTATGCACATATTGCAATATTTAAGCTGGGACCTAATATACTAATGTTAAATAAAGTCAAAGATCAAAGTAAGTAAATTCCATTATCTCCTCTTTAACCTGTAGGATAAGGATAACATTTCTTTATGGACATTCTATGTATACAGTTCTAAAACTTGGAATATTTTCTTCAATCTTCACCAAGCTCTTTTTCAGAGTTGTACTTACAAGAGACTAGTACCCATTGGCTTCTTCCCCTTCCCTATATCTTCCATGTGAATAAGTTTAATTCAAATCAAGCAAGGGTAATTCAAACTCAAATTAATACCATCTACAGACCATTTTTCCCAAAAAAATCTTTTTTTCAGTAATAGTGACTTTGATCTAATGAGCCCAAAGCAATTGGCTTCTTTCCCTTCCCTTTATTTTCATCTGTATAAGTTTCATTCTAATGAAGCAAGGAATACTCAAGTTATCATCTGGGAACCATTTGTTTAAAGCACACATACGGAAGGAAGGATGTACAAAGTGATTACTATATGCTCCGGAAATATTTTTGGAGAGCAAAATAATGAATGAAGGAAAATATGTTTTTGCATGTTTGTTTCAAAAAGAGATAGAAGATATCAAGGTGGGCAACAATAAATCACAAATAAAACAGAACATCATAGAAGATACCAAAGTGGGCAACAATAAATCATAAATAAAACAGAACATCATAGAAGATACCAAGGTGGGCAACAATAAATCACAAATAAAACAGAACATCATAGAAGATACCAAGGTGGGCTACAATAAATCACAAATAAAACAGAACATCATAGAAGATACCAAGGTGGGCAACAATAAATCACAAATAAAACAGAACATCATAGAAGATACCAAGGTGGGCAACAATAAATCACAAATAAAACAGAACATCATAGAAGATACCAAGGTGGGCAACAATAAATCACAAATAAAACAGAACATCATAGAAGAACAGAAGTAAGAGTTAACTGACAATTTCAGTTATGCTGACATATTTGCAGATCTTATCCTGCTGAGAATTTTTCCTTTCTGAAAGTTTCTATCTATTATAGTTTTCAAGATAATAGGTAAAAAATGCAAAAAAAAAATGTCAAGATGATCATTAAAAGGCATTAAGTCCAATAACAGGTTGACTAAAGATTTCAAACATATGGCTTATTAGTAGATCTTGTCTTGCTGATCATTTGTGATATATAAAGTTTCTATCTATCTATTAGTTTTCAAGATAATGGACAACAATGGGAAATAAAATGCTTCGCTGAGCGCAGCCTGATATGACCGCAGAGGTCGAACCCTGAACAGTTGGGGCAAATTTGGACACAATATTCAAGCTTGACACTATATGAATTTGGATAGTGATCAAATTTTTGACATAATATAGGTTTCTGACACAAAATAAATGTGGTCAAAGATCTTAAAAATTTGAAATGGGACATTTAATTTACCTAGAATGGTCTGATATCCAAAATCTAACAACATGGTTAGATTCAGCATATAAAAAAAACACCACTAATTTAATTTAAGTTGAAATCAAACAAAGTTTAATTTTGGACCCTTCAAACCTTAATATGAACTAATTTGAAAACGGCCCAAAATAAAATCTAAATGCACAATAAGATTCAGCAAATCATACAGCCGCAATAATTCAGATTTTGATGAAATAAAACAAAGTTTAATTTTGGACCCTTTTGACCTCAATGTAGACCAATTTAAAAATGGGGCCCAATATCCAAAAAAATTATACAAGGTTAGAACCCCAAAAAATTAAAGACTTAATTAATCCCATCGAAATTGGTTAAAACATTTGTATTTGTTTTCAATTGAAGATTTCTTTCTATTGCGCAATATTGTGCAATTGAAGATTTCTTGCTATTGCGCAATACTGTGCAATTGAAGATTTCTTGCTATTGCGCAATACTGTGCAGTTGAAGATTTCTTGCTATTGCGCAATACTGTGCTATCGTGCAATACTGTGCAATTGAAGATTTCTTGCTACTGCGCAATATTGTGATATTGCGCAATACTGTGATATTGCACAATACTGTGCTATTGCGTAATACTGTGCAATTGAAGATTTCTTGCTATTGCGCAATACTGTGCTATTGTGCAATACTGTGCAATTGAATATTTCTTGCTCTTGCCCAATACTGTGCTACTGTACAATACTGTGCTATTGCGCAATACTGTGTAATTGAAGATTTCTTGCTATTGCGCAATACTGTGCAATTGAAGATTTAAAAAATTTGTGTGATACTTTATAAATTTTGAAGAAAAAAAATGACCCCCCCCAAAAAAATTTAAAAAAAAAATCCCCCCAACTTTTTGACCCCCCCACCTTTTGGAGTAATTACCCCCAAACTCAATCCCAGCCTTTCCTTTATGGTATAGAACCTTGTAGTACAATTTTAGAGAGATCCATACACTTAAACACAAGTTATTGTCTGGAAACTAGAATAAACTGTTATCACAGAGATATGTCTCGCCTTTTTGTAATTTTGATAAAGCAAATGTTGAAATTAAAATAGCAATACTTTAACATGTAATTTATGCAAATATTCAAAGTCAATGAACCATGACTGAAGGTACATGGCTAAACAATCTCCATGGAATAAGATGTGCCAATGCTTATACAACTGCATACCAAATACCATTGACTTATTATAAGTCGTTCCCTTTAAATAAACCTAAACACAAACATTAACTTGTAAACTATGTAAAAGTTTCAAAGACAATAAACCATGATCAGGGGTGGGGCTATGTAATCTCCATGGAAACGATACTTGCAAATGCCAATACATTTGCATACCAAATATCATTGACTTAACATTAGCAGTTCATCTTAAACTGATCTAATCACAAACTAATACATGTAAGCTAAGTAAAAGTTCCAAAGTCAATAGACCATGACTGAGGGGGCAGGACCAAATATTCTCCATGGAATTGAGATGTGCTAATGCTTATTCAACTGAACACCAATTAACATTGGCCTACCACTAATGGTTCCCCTTGAACTGACCTAATCACAAACTAATACATGTTAACTTAGCAAAATTTTCAGTCTATAGACCATGACTAAGGGGGCGGAGCCAAATAGTCTCCATGGAAATGAGATATAACAATGCTTATACAACTGCATACCAAATATCATTGACCTACCACTAGTGGTTCCCCATAAATTGAGTTAATCACAAACTAATACATGTAAACTATGAAAAGTTTCAAAGTCAATAGACCTTGACTGAGGGGGCGGGGCCAAATAATCTCCATGGTAATGAGATGTGCCAATGCTAATACAACTGCATACCAAATATCATTGACCTACCACTAGTTGTTCACCATGAACTAGACCTAATCACAAACTAATACATTGTTGACGCTGCCGCCGCCGTCGCTGCCGGAAACAGCATACCTATGTCTCGCTTTTTGACTCCGTCAAGGCGAGACAAAAATGTTTGTTTTTGGCCCCTTTTTGCCCCTAATTCCCAAACGTTTGGGGCAATTAATCCCAAACTCAATCCCAGTCTTCCCTTTGTGATATGGAACCTTGTGGTACAATTTCAGAGAGATCCATACACTTACACACAAATTATTATCCGGAAACTACAAAAATGCTTGTTTTTGGCCCCTTTTTGGCCCCTTATTCTTAACTATTGGTACCATCACCCCCAAAATCAATTCCAACCTTCCTTTTGTGATATTGAACCTTCTGGTAAAAATTCATAGAGATCCATTCACTTAAACTAAAGTTATTGTCCGGAAACCAAATGTGTCTTCGGACGCCAACGCAGACGACGAAGACATCATAGCATTATACGACGACGACATCATAGCATTATACGACGCAAAACATTTTTCACGGTTGTATAAAAATGGGAAAAATTGTGATTAAAGGTCAATAACTCTAACAAGGAGTTGTCTGACGATTTTGGTCATGTTGAATTATTTGTAGATCTTGTCTTGCTGATCATTTTAGCTTATAGTTTCTATCTATTTTAATTTTGATAAAATTTGTCAAGGGCAATAACTCCTATAAGAAGTCATCTGACAGTTTTGACTTACATGGACAATAGTTAGAGCTCAATATTTTAAATATTTTTGCTCTTGTCAGAATTTCTGTATTTATAGCGGTTTACGGGGTCATGGGACACATTTTCAACCTAAATACCCCAATGATGATTGTGGCCAAGTTTGGTTAAATTTGGTCCATTTGTTTCAGAGGAGAAGATTTTTGTAAAAGTTAACAGACGATGATGTCGAGGACGACAGACACCAAGTGATGAAGAAAGCTCACTTGGCCTTTCGACCAGGTGAGCTAAAAATAACCCATTGACAAACAATAGTACACAGAACCCTACACAGAAAACTAAAGGTTAAGAAACATGAACCCACACCAATAAACAGGGAGTAATTTTTAGGTGCTCTGGAAGAGTCAGCAGTTTGACTGCTGTTTAAATAAATGTATTTATGTGTCACATCTGGTGATAAAGCATTATACAATAGCTGACTGGTAAAATTTTCTTGTCTACCTTTATGTCCTTATCAAATTTAAAACCATCAGTCATGTGAATTTTTCTAACCCTAAATCTTTACCACATGTTAAAATTCAAAAGAACACAACTTGTTTAAATGAGTAAATAAAAATATAAATAATTGCTTTATTGATAAACAAATAATTATTATCACATATGTTTACAACAACCAACAGCAAACTCTAAAATACAGTAAGCATAACAATATATAAATGCATCTTGTTTTATCCAATAGAATTTGTTATGCATTGTATTTTTACTTCATTCAGTGGGAACAGAATATACTGTGAGTGTCCAGGACAAAGTAGGAAAGGGTCTGAGTGAGGATGTATTTGCAAGTCAAAAACTGAATACAGGTAAATTTGAAGGTTATACTGTAGTATCTTAAGATTAATGACTTGGTTTTTCTAAGCACATCCAACTGCCTTCTACCAGTACTTTTAGGGTAAAATATCAACATGAAAGTTTAAACTGCATGCTTCTTCCTTTTCTTGTCCAATATAATTATTTTTCCCTATCATTTTAGGAATCAATTAGAAGCCTGAACCACTCACCTGGCATATTTGACCCTTTATTTGTTCAATAGAAGATAACTGCTGACAAATTTTAATTTCAAATTGCTTTGTTTTTATCAATTTTTTAATGTTTCAAATCATTAAGCCTTGTAGCTTAAGTAGAAACTTTCTTGCAGCTATGTTTGCTATCTCATCAGAACCAAACAATGATCATTTACAGAGGACTTTTAAAATATCATTCCTGCCAAGTGTTATCAAAATCAACCAAGAAATTTCAGAAAAGAAGATGAAAATGACATTTTACATAGGTTTCAATTGGAAATATGTGCCATCATTCAAAATTTAAGTGAGCATCAATCAGAATCAAGATCGCCTAGTTGCAATCTTTTTTTATCCAATCAAAACCAAATGACCATTCTTTGTAGCAGATCTTTAATACTTTATTCCTACAAAGTTTAGTTAAAACCCAATCTAATTAAAATTAAATCTCTGCACTCTCTCATTTCACAGCAACCAAGCATAAAAAATGAGAAAATGCAGAGGTTTCATTTCAATTAGATTGGTTAAAACCCAATAAATGTTTCTTAGAAGAAGCAAGTGACAAAAGTTTACAGATGATGGATGTCAAAGGATGGCAACAGCTGACAAAGCTATTTAACACCAAGTGATGCAGCATATTGGTACCTTTTATTACCAAGAATTATACAGTAAATTTACAAAGATATTGATAAAACCCTGGGATCTTATATTAAGTCCCACTTTAACCTGAAGGATACAAATCATACAAAATTAAACTGGAGTAACATTGTTAATTGGAATGAAAAATTAGAAGTAATCATTATTACCATAAAATGAGTTATATTTTTCACAAAAGAAATGAATATAAATCTATAAGATTTATGAACATATTATAATATTTTGTAATTAATGACACATGAAGAATTATTTGATTTTTAAATTTACAGCAAAAGCACCAGATTAATAATGATATATTATAATGTTATAGCATGTGGGAACTTAATACAATGAACGACATATACTGTTGCTCAGTGTATAACAGAAGGTATTACAATGTCTGATGGATATCTAATGTTGAAATATTGATATATCATCATGGTTTCCAAGAAATAAACTATAACACAAAATAGATCAAAGTCAAGTCAGTCTGAAATATAAGTCAAGGTGAGTGAAATGTTGTTGATCAATGTATTTTTTTAAGAGTATTATAGTGATGACTGATGAGGTATTTTCATTTATCAATGACTTCTGTTAAATGAACACTTAACATAGTCAAACCTGAAAGAATTACACATATATATATATATATATATATATATATATATATATATATATATATATATATATATATATAAACATACAGACAGACAAAAACATTTAACTTTTAATCTATATACCACAATCCCCTCCCCCCCACCCCCCACCCCCCACCCCCGCAAAAAAAATTAAAATAAATTAATTCCTTTATTGCACTTTTAGTTGTTAACAAATACCTGAAATGGTACAACTATCCCATATAGGTATATCCCTTTGTATAAGTGATCAGCTAACAACTTTTCATTCACTTTATCAAATCTAGTCGAATTCAGTATTATAGCAAAACAGGTCATTGACGTCCTGAGTATCATAAGAAAATACCCTGTGTACTTTAACTTGATCAAACAGTACCCAGGTTTATTCATTTTTGTGTGATAGTACCCAGGGTAACTTGGGAGGAAGAAAAGTATCCAGGTCATTGAGAATTTTGGCATATTTACAAGTTTTTATTGATTCCATTGAGGTAATGCTTAGCCTTTAAATCATTTTCGTTTACTTTTGTTATGACTAACATGATACAAGTGGAGGTTCAGCATCACGAACTTTACCAAAAAATTGGAAAACAGCAACCTGGGTACGCTTTTATGATCGGGGTTAACCTGGGTACCTTTAACAGCTTTTGTTTTAACATGGGTACTTTCTCTAAAATACCATGTTCTTATATTACAACAGTGAATCATTCAGCAGTATTATAAAATTATTTGGAGGGAATTTAAACCCAATTACCAACACTGTACATGCATTTTTCTGGATTGTTTCAAGAAACTGCTTCTGATTTTTTTTCATTAAAACTACTTCATAAACCCTTTTACACACCAAAGGAAGCAAAATGATAAATCAGTAGTATGTATTAAAGGACATTGGAGAGGGAACATAGGGGAAAAAATAAATCACAAGATACCATAAAAAAAACATACAATCAACACCAAACACTTTTTTCAATGGCTTTTTAAACTGAAAATATTTCTATTACTAACAGTTTTGATATGGGTGGATAAAAGAAAGTAATTTCTAGACCGAACAAACTTCCTTAAAAATCATGTATACTGAAACAAAATTTACAGTCATAACATCAAATCATCAACACAGAATGAATGTCTTCCAGAGAAACAAAGAAAACTTGTAAAAAAACAACTTATGTTACAGGAATAATAAAGCTTTACAAAGATCTAGACTTTACGATTGAACAAACATAAGAACACAATAAAAATACACATCTGTGCCAGGAGCAAATGATACAATCTTCGACTAATCAGTGAGAGCAGACAATTGTATGAAGATTAAATGCATGTTATTGCTTGAATAATCGTGTAATTATTGCATAAGGATTTGTGAAAGCAAAGATATTGTGACACATATGAAGATTTTCCTGGTACTTTGATATTTAAAATCACATATCTCTTGAATGGCTTATCTGAAAATCATTGAAATTGAAATGGATTTTATTTTTGTAAGTTGTTACACTGTAACAAAAGTTCACAAGAGCAAATCATCAGATATGGGGGAAAATTGTCTTGTTTTTGATGATTTAAGTCTCATAACTCTTCAACAACTAATTTGAAAACCATCAAAATCAAAAATAGCTCGTCTTAATGAAGCCTTTTATTGTGTAAAAAATCATAAATATTCATGAAAGCATACCTCAAGTTGAATTATTCTGAAATATATAAAAAAATTGCCATGTTTTTGATGATTAAAGTCTCATAACTGTAGAGCAATTAATATGAAAATGTTAAAATCAAAAAAGGAAGGTAGTCTTCAGGTAACCTAACATTGTGTAAAAAATTTAGTAAGATTTTGTTACAACATACTTGAGTTATCGTGAAACATGTCTGGATGGACAGACAGACAGCAGTATACCATAAAACATATATCTTAAGGTGTAAGTGTCTAAAAAACTGACAAATACTGTAATAAAATAAAACAAACAACAACCAATTAACAATTCTACATATTAATCAACAGTACAGTTACATATATATATATTATGAATGAATATTATGCAACACTGATAAGAATTTTTTATCACTATAGAATATAGTGCTTAGTCTGCTGAGGAGATCCACTGTATCAGCTAAGTACTTGTCTGAGCCTGTAACAAAGTCACATGACATTTGAATATCTGATTTAAACTGATGATACTGTCTGTTGCTCTTTAATGAATGAAGGAATGTTAGCTGTTGTTTTGAGGAAGAAGTCAATACAACAGGTTCACCGGGACATCGTAGAAGTGATTCACCAAATATCTGTGCAGACAACATGGCTGCTAAGGCTCGACACACTATCCTGAACCTTAAAAATAAGAACAAATGTAAGTAAATAAACTTGAAATACAACCCCAGATGATTCAAAAGCTGCAATTGTAAATGACTAAACTGGTTGACTATTATCTGTCAGGTAAATTTACCATCAAGTCATTAATTTAAAACAAAATAGTTTCTCTCAAAAAGTTTTATAGGTAAACTTATTCACGTGCTTTTGATGGCCCATTTAATTTGGTTGACAGTTTTGACTTTTCAACTCTTTACACTACACTCCCATACAATCATTTCAAACAAAGGTTTTCCTATTTAATTAGATGGTCGTTATAAAAATCTGACTGCCCAAGTACAGACATTTGTACTTACTGTTGTGACATGGGGGACTTTTTACCAAGTCCTATTGCTCCAAGTAATCCAGTAGACAACCTATCTTCCCCATACTGATGTAGGTAAGATATAAGGGTATTTAACATCTTTATTAACACTTTGTGTGAGGCACCAAAATTTACTTCCTTCAGTACTATTTCCACCAATATTGACCACCATAATAACAGCTTACATTCATTGTCAGAGCTACAATGCGTAACAATAAAGATCTCAATAGTAACAGCTATAAAACTACATTTGTTATTTTCTGTTTTAAATTCAAACTATTTATTTATTGACATATTTTAAAATTGATAAATCTTAAAAAAATAAATGCAAAAAGTTATCTTTCCTTAATATTGACCATAATTTTATAGCTATTGCTTCACAGTCTTAAACTCAGAAGATAAAACAAGAGGCTCTCAAGAGCCTGAATCGTTCACCTGTATTTCAGAGGAGAAGATTTTTAAATGTTAGCAAACTTGATGAACAAATTGTGTAAAATTGTCTTTAAAGGGCAATACCTCCTTAAGGGGTCAATTGACAATTTTGGTCATATTAACTTTTTTGTAGATCTTACTTTGCTGAACATTATTGCTGCTTACAGCTTATATATATCTATAATAATATTCAAAATAATAACAAATAAAATGCTCCGCTGGGGCGCAGCTTGATACGACCGCAGAGGTCGAACCCTGAACAGTTGGGGCAAGTATGGACACAACATTCAAGCTTGATACAGCACTGAATTTGGATTGTAATTAAATATTTGACACAGCATAGGTTTCTGACACAGAATGAAAGTGGTCTAAGAACTTAAAAAATTTCAATTTACCTATTCATACATGTGATGGACTGTGAAACTCAGATCAGGAGATTGGGAAATTTTGGTCAGGAGATTAGGACTCAGATCAGGAGGTTTTTAATCGACATTAATTTTGTTGTAAATGTAACCGTGTGCTGTAAAAATGGTCTTTTAAAGTGTGTTTTCTTCAACTTTCCAACCAATTTATTATGTTTATAGTACCCTTGTACTTATAAAGTTTCTCCATCTTTATATTCTACATGTTCAATCTAACATTGTTTTTTTCCAGTATGTTCTTTAAATTTTTTACTTCATATTCTATAAAACAATCATTGCAACCAGAACATTTGTTTAGCTGTCTGCAAATAGTTTTTATTTTTTTTTTTTTTCTCTTGCAAATAGTTTTTATTTGCAAACTCAGAAATTCATTCTATCTGTAAAGTTAGGGTCATAGTTATTATATAAATTTCAATTTAAGCCTTAAAAGGAAGTATAGAATCCTCAAATAATTTTCAAATTATTATTTTTTTATTTGTTCTAAGACATTTAAAATCATTTAATAACCATCCTTTTATGATTATTTGTTCAATTTATATTTTATTTATATTCTTTTAAAAATTTTCATTATTAAAAGGAAAGTAACTTAAAACAGGATAAATCAAGGGAAGTAACCCAATAAATACACAGTTTTTGTTACACAACGGCAGTTAGCCTGAGGTAAAAATCGTTGCTTACCAGTATGTTTGACACCCAAGCTGACAAGTGAAGCCATATAATTATGCATGTTAATTGATTTACAGGTAAAATATAACTTCAGGTAATGTCAGTTACACCAGATGCCTGAGATGTTATGTTGGGCAGAAATTTTTCATTCATGAAAAATTTCATACACGGGATTTTTTCAACGGGAGGGGGGGGAGGAGACCCCTGAAAACGGGATTATTGTACTCCCGTCGGGAGGTTCACATGTATGCCTATTCAAACCATATCATTATTATTTGCTTTTATATATAAATCAGAAATAACCAATTTAAAATGGAAAATGTTAAAGAAAAAAAAGGAAAACCCCCCCCCCCCCCCCCCAATTTTTTGAACCCCCTTATGATTCATCGCCCCCAAACTCAATCCCAGCTTTCCCTTTGTGGTATGGTACCTTGCAGTACAATTTCAGAGAGATTCATACACTTGAACACAAGTTATTGTCTGGAAACTAGAAAAATGCTTGTTTTTTGGCCCCTTTTTGGCCCCAAATTCCTAAACGTTTAGGGCAATTACCCCCAAACTCAATTCCAGCTTTCCCTTTGTGATATGGAACCTTGCAGTACAATTTCATAAAGATCCATACACTTACACACAAGTTATTGTCCTGAAACTAGAAAAATGCATGTTTTTTTTGCCCTTTTATGGCCCCTAATTACTAAAATTTTGAGGGAAAACCCCCAAAATCAATCCCAGCCTTCCCTTTGTGATATGGAACCTTGTAGTACAATTTCATAAAGATCCATACACTTACAAACAAGTTATTGTCATGAAACTAGAAAAATGCTTGTTTTTTGCCCCTTTTTGGCCCCTAATTCCTAAAATTTGGAGACAATTACCCCCAAAATCAATCCCAGCATTCCCTTTGTGATATGGAACCTTGTGGTACAATGTCAGAGAGATCCATACACTTACACACAAGTTATGTCTGGAAGTTACAAAAATGCTTATTTTTGGCCCCTTTTGGCCCCTAATTCCTTAACTGTTAGTACCATAACCCCCAAAATCAATCCCCACCTTCCTTTTCTGGTATTGAACCTTATGGTAAAATTTCAATGAGATCCATTCACTTAAACTAAAGTTAGAGTGCGAAAAACTAATGTGTATTCGGACGACGACGACGACGACAACGTCATACCAATATACGACCACAAAAATTTTTTTGCGGTCGTATAAAAACTGCAAAATTTTGTTAAAACTACCAATTCGGTGGCAGCAACCCAACAATGGGTTGTTCGATTCGTCTGATAATTTCAAGGTCGATAGATCTTGACCAATTAAACAATTTTACCCCATGTCACATTTGTTCTAAAAGATTTAGTTTTTGAGATATAAGCCAAAAACTGCATTTGACCCTTATGTTCTATTTTTAGCCATGGCGGCCATCTTTGTCGATGGATACAAACTTCGGATACAATTTATAAACAAGATACCCTAAAGAACATTAAGTTAAAGTTTGAAGGTAATTGGCCCAGTAGTTTCAGAGGAGAAGATTTTTAAATGTTAGCAAACTTGATGAACAAATTGTGTAAAATTGTCTTTAAAGGGCAATAACTCCTTAAGGGGTCAATTGACAATTATAGTCATATTAACTTTTTTGTAGATCTTACTTTGCTGAACATTATTGCTGCTTACAGTTTATATATATCTATAATAATATTCAAAATAATAACAAAAAACTGCAAAATTTTGTTAAAACTACCAATTGAGTGGCAGCAACCCATCAATGGGTTGTTCGATTCGTCTGAAAATTTCAAGGTCGATAGATCTTGACCAATTAAAGAATTTCACCCCATGTCAGATTTGCTCTAAAAGCTTTAGTTTTTGAGATATAAGCCAAAAACTGCATTTGACCCCTTTGTTCTATTTTTAGCCATGGCGGCCATGTTTGTCGATGAATCAAAACTTCGGATACAATTTATAAACAAGATACCCTAAGGAACATTTAGTTAAAGTTTGAAGGTATTTGGCTCAGTAGTTTCAGAGGAGAAGATTTTTGAAATAGTTTACGACGACAGACGATGACGACGACAGACGACGGACGCCAAGTGATGGAATAAGCTCACATGGGGCCCTTTGGGCCCCGGTGAGCTAAAAATTAATAAAGAACAAGCCATAATTTTTCATTGATAGCTTTGCCCAGTGGTCTCATGGGAGAGTTCCAGGATAGTGGTTGTTTTAATGTGGAGGTTGACAAGTCATATCATGTGACAGTTTTCTTAAACTGGTCTGCCATTCCATCTAAATCTCCACTCCGAAAGGAACGGGTTGGAGCCATTGTCACCTTGGCATTAATTGTACAGTCTTTCAAATCCAACGATTCGCTACGAAATTGACCAATTATATTGACAGGAACTTTTGACCACTTGACCTCAAATGTTAATACTGCGATGCCACAAAATAAATAAGTATCTGTTAATTAACTCCATACGGCAAGCTATTCATATCTTTACGTGGTATAAATTTTGTGCATTCATTGTATTTTAAGACATGATACGGGTGTGTTCAAACATGGACGTACTACTAGTATCAGAGACATATAATAAAATTATTATACAGTACACACAGAGAGGATGTAATCTCATACTCCCAACACTGATTCTGGTGTAACACAGTGTCACACTGTGAAACACAGATTTCTCTCCCAAAAAACACCAAGTAATTACTCCCATCTGGGAGGGTTTTATGACCTGTTGATTGCAGGTAAGAGTAATAAAAATCAACAAAGCACGACTGCATGGTCTGACAGTGACATAATTACAGGTCAACTATTCTCTCACTTCTTCCTATTTCAATCATTTCCTATTTAGTTTTATTTCTGAAAGCTATAAAAAAAAGGTTAACGAAATGATTTTAACATTTTTTATACAAATATGTATTTTTAGATTGGAAAATTATTTACATTCTTTCATAATCTCATAATCAAGAATGGCAACTTGATATTTACAATAAGTTGTATTTATAGTCAGTTTAAACATATAGATATTAGTATATACATGGTTTAAAAAATAATAGTAATGATACAAAAAAAAATAATGAATAAAATAAAATAATGTAGATAAATTACATATATATATTATATTTATATAATCTTCCTTTATTTCTTATCATTTAAATTTAGAAAAAACGATTGAATAAATTCAATTAAAATATATGTCTTTATTTTCTATTAATAATACTCCACTTACAGGTGATGTTTTGTTTGTTTTTGTATGTTTCTTAGGTATGAAAAACCAACACTGTCAGAACAAATGCTGAATATAATTTCAATAAATAAAGTTGTACAGGATTCTTTAATAAAATCAGATTATAATATGTCTCTGATTAAATTTAACAAATCTCACACTTTTCATCATTTTTGTGACTGTCATTTAATGACAGGAAACACAAGAAATGTTTATTGTAGTCATCAACTACTGGCACACTTCAAAGGTAATCATAGCAATAAAAATCATGTTGTTGGGAGAAACCACACCAAGGTAATAAACAATTAAGGAGTTTTAGGGAGGATTTACTCCAAGTTTCTCCCAATTTCCTCCCAAGATTTGGAGAGAGTTGCTGGAGTTTCTTGGTGTGACACCAAGTTTTTACACAGTGTAGGGAGTATGAGATTACATCCTCTCTATGTGTACTGTATGTCTATGCTGGGACAAATTATATATATTTAGTATACTATTGTCTGGTCTATGAACAAGATTCAAAATATGACATTATATTTCATTTTAGGTAGATGTAAAAAAAAATAAAAACTTATCTGACTTAAAATTCTGAGTGTTAGAATGATAAATGCAAAATTTTATTTTTTTATGTTGATCAATCAAATATTCACAGATTTTTTTTTTTAAAGATCTTTTGAACATTCAATTTCATTTATATAGCAGAAACAGATTACGATTGGATTTAAAAGATCCACAATTAACCACGGTAATGTGATAAAATTTGCTTCAATTATTGAAAACCAATGCATGGTGGCAGCGCAGATAAATGCCTCAAAAGCGTGTTATCAAATTCTTGACAAACTGAGAACTCAGTAGGGATAGGAATGTGCTAATTTCTCGTTTAAATTCCTGTTAATATAATACATAGTAAACACATCACATGATGAACTAATCTCTTTGAAATTATTAAATCACACGGTCAGCATTCTGACCACGAGATTTAGGCCATACCTGTTGTTAGTGTAGCAATAAGTGAACACAACAGGGGTCCAGTTTACAGTTTTCTATGCATTTGCCTAATTTTTCAAGCCAATTAATGGAATTATTTAAATAGATTTCCACTTAAAAAATTCAAACCACACTTTTCTATTTTGACCCCCTCATCCTGTTGAAAACCTACACCTAGGTGACATCCCCCATAAGATCATGTTTCATGGAAACAACGTGCATAGATTTCTGATGTTTACACATGAATTTTGTGTGAAAAATGAAATCAGGAAAACAAAGCATCTCAGAACTAAATTAATTGTTGAGATCTGTTCTATTTCAATGACTTTCACAGCAGTAGGTCTGACCTAATAGCTCTAATGACTGACAGCAAGTAAGGGCCCCACTCGAGGGTTAATACCTAGGTTTAGCTTTGCCTGTCCAATCTAGAAGTCTTCCCAGTAAAACATTCATCTGTTCTAAAGATTGACACAGTGGTAGGTTCTGTACAATGTAACCATACAACAAAAGATATGACCCTTCTTCCAAAGCTACTGTCAGGTAATCATCAATGTCAAGGTCAGGTACTTGGATTGCTGCCAAAACATGGTCCCATCCACCTCCTGTTTGTTTGTCATGACCTTTAAAAAAGTTGTATAAAATGCAATTAAAACTTTCTCATTTCAGGATCAATAAAATTTCCTAATTCTAAGTAAGATTAGATCTAATGAGCGGAAATCCTTTGTTTTCTTTTGTCCACAAGAAAGACAAAATTATGTTTATTCTATTCTTTTTCAGATTATTCTACTACAAATACTTGTAAACAGTAAGCAAGCAAACAATACTTTTATTTCAAAATTCTCAATTGACTTAAAAATGATGAGAAGCTGACCATATGCTGAAAATACAAGTTTTTCATAATTCATCTACAGGAAATATAAAAATTCAAGATTTTCTAAAAAAAAAAAGACAAATACTCAAATCCCTAAAATCCCTAAAATAGACGTATTGAGTAGTCAACTAGCATTAAATTTCAAATTTAAACACACTTTTAAATTCATAATTACAACTACAAGCATACAAAATTATTTACCTCCTACAAAATAAGCTTGGATACATTCCTCAATTATCTGCACCATATGTCTATGTGATGCCAGACATCGTGAGGCACTCCTCACACATGGTAACAGTAATATACTGCTAGGTGATGACTCTAACCACTGTATTATAGTTGTCACAACAACAGATTGGTTACTAGGGTTACAGTTGTTAAGTAATGACAACACTTCCTTCATGAGATCTAAGCTTTCCTCCTGTTGTATTCTTGAATCAACAACTGCCAAAATTAATTGTAAACAGTTAAAATTTTAATTCTATTTTTCTTCAATTTTTTTTCACAACATTCCTTTCTTATAGATTTATACAACTCAGACAAAAAAAAAGTTTAACTAGATGTGTCAGAATAACAAGAAAGCCCCACCTCTGACAGGAATCTATAATTCTGTGAAGAAGTATATCATCAAGAACAAAACACATTTATTCACCGTTATACACTAATGAACCAAAAAGTAGCTCAATATCTACAGGCTAAACACAACTGTGTGGACAAGTACTACTATTTATTGTTGAAGACCATCTCAATGCTAAATCTTTTCATTTTTAGTGTCATTGGGTTGCTTGCCTTACAGACTATCTCATTGACCATACTCCAATTTCAAATTACTGATATGACCACAACTATCTCTGTATTGCTAAACAATAAAGTGTAAGATGATAAGAACTTACCACTAGCCACAACTGTCTCCGTAGCTAAACAATAAAGTGTATGATGACAAGAACTTACCACTAGCCACAACTGTCTCTGTAGCTTAACAATAAAGTGTATGATTACAAGAACTTACCACTAGCCACAACTGTCTCTGTAGCTAAACAATAAAGTGTATGATGACAAGAACTTACCACTAGCCACAACTGTCTCTGTAGCTTAACAATAAAGTGTATGGTTACAAGAACTTACCACTAGCAACAACTGTCTCTGTAGCTAAACAAAAAAGTGTATGATGATAAGAACTTACCACTTGCCACAACTGTTTCTATGTCAGTCATCAAGTTCAAGATTACAGTTGTGATAGATTCCATACTAATTTCATTATCGTATGTACACTGGCAGATTAATTGGACATAGCTGTGGACATAGCATTGTCTTTTTATAGCCATATCTGAAGTCCAACTACTAGATGACTGGACATTAAAATCAGAGGCAGCTTTCAATAGCCTGAAAATATACAAATAATAAACAGCTGCGCCATGAGCGCATGATACACCCGTCGTCTTGTGTGTGAATTGTTATGCAATAATCATAAATAGTTTCTGACATACGGCCTGACATGCTAAAACACCTTTTTTTTTTACAAAAAACTCAATATCTCTAAAATAAAATTTTGAATCAAAACCAAAAAGTATACAGATCTTTAGATTAATATAACTAAAAAGTGTGTAAAATTTTAAGCAATAATCATAAATCGTTTTTGAGATACGGCGCAACATGTGAAAACCCCCCTTTTAAAAAAAAAAAATAAATATCTCAAAAATAAAATTTTGAATCAAAACCAAAAAGTATACAGATCTTTAGATTAATATAACTAAGAAGTGTGTAAAATTTTAAGCAATAATCATAAATCGTTTTTGAGATACGGCGCTACATGTGAAAAACCCCTCCCCCTTTTTTTACAAAATACTCAAGAAAATTTTGAATCATCACCAAAAAGTATACAGATCTTAAGATTAATATAACTAAGAAGTGTGTAAAGTTTTAAGCAATAATCATAAACTGTTTTTGAGATACAGCGCGACATGTGAAAAACATGTGAAAAACCTCTCCCCCTTTTTTAACAAAATACTCAATATCTCTAAAATAAGTTTAGTTACTAAGTCCCGTAACTCAAAAAGTTTTAAACTTATTTTCACCAAAAAGTATACAGATCGTTTGACCATCATAAGAAACAACTATTTTAAGTTTCATGAAATTTGGATAAGTCGTTCTCAAGTTACTGTGTGACATGTTTACGCCAGACAGACAGACGGACAGACGACATTTGTATACCATAATACGTCCCGTCAAAATTTTGACGGGCGTATAAAAATGAGTACTAGACTATTATATTATGGCTCTAACTGACAGATAATATGAGGTGGCCTTGAGATCACATATATCCCCTGTCTTCCATAACATCATAATGCTAAAGATAAGCAAGCATAATAAATTCACACATTTCATGTCAACTCTAGCAAAATTGAACTCAATGTATTTTTATAGTCCATGATATTCAGTGTCTGGGTTATATAATAGTGCACACTACAGAAAGTAATTAATATACTGGTAAATGAAATATGATGTAATGCTTTTCTTAATGTTTTTTAATTATTTCTTTTTATATTCTTTTTTAAAAGATCATTCTTTTTCTAACATTTATATCATCTGAATGATATTTGCCATTTATCAGTTCATCATCCTAACTCTCTTTATCTAAATTAAAATAGATGAATTTATCATCCACCTGAGATCCATGTTTAATACAACAAATCTGAACCATTCAATGCACACTGCCACAGCATATTTGAAAAAGTAGTATACTTTTGAAAAAAGAGATATGGTTTTTCATGTTTACTTAGAATCATGAATGCTTATTTTGTTTATTTGTTTCATTTCTATTACACCAGTCCAAAAAGAGGTATGGCTCAAACTGTCGTGGGTGCTAAGCCAGTGCAGAACATAATTTCTGGAACTATACAAATTGATTGATTGATTTTTTGTGTTTGAATACCACTTTCAGCTCTATTGGCTATTTTATGGAGGCCATTTTTATTGGTAGAGAAAGCCGGAGTGCCAATAGAGAGAACCACCGACCTTTTGCAATCATAGTCTCATTTAAGATTGGAGTCAAACACACTTGCCATGTGTGGGCTCAAACTAACAACATCAGTGCTGACAGGCTAGTGGTACAGTAGAAGAACTATTCAGACCATTTGCATTACCTCCTTCATTTTTGACAATATGGCATTAATTTTTTGAAGAAGAAAGTTCTAACCTTGTTCCCAAAAATTCAGTAAATAACTTACTGTCGGTGTTGTAGTTCTTCAGTAACTTTTTATTACCTTATTCCCAAGTTTATGATAGGTGACCATTCTGCAGTGAGCTTTTTCAGAAAACCTTTTCTTACATAAGTGCCACTGTGATTGCTCATGACCTTTTGCTATGAGGTACTTTTTCATGTTCTTACCATAGTCCCAATGTGAAGGTATATGACCTTTCTACTATATGGTTTTTGGTGTAATCCGTCTTTCTTGCCTTTGTCCCAAGGTGACGATAGAAAACCTTTCTACAATGAATTATCAAGGAGGAACCTTTTTTCAAATCTGAGTCTCAAGGTGACAGTAGAAGACCTTTCTACTCTGAATTATTCAGGAGGAACCTTTTATCTTACCTTAGTCCCAAGGTGACTGTAGATGACCTTTCTGCTATGAGGTATTTAGGATCACACATTTGCAGGTACCAGTTGAAGGCATGACGATAATTATCAGATGTTAACTTTATCCAGTTGTAATTAATAGATGATACAATCTTCTGCTCCAAAGCAGGGATCTTAAAAAAAGAAAATATATAGTTTATGCTTGTATAAATAACTTCAGTAGCTACATATGAAGACGAATCTATGTTAATTTGACATATATCACATCTACACTAATCAATCTATCAGAAAATGCAGGTCTTATTGACAAACTTTGTGAATGAACCTTTGATACTATCAATGATGTCACAATCTATAAAATATTTTCCCCACCCTGACCTGTAGTAAATAAGATCTTTACTTAAACACAAACTTAGATAATCATTCATGTATAAAATGTAGGCATTATGTTTGCAAAGAATTCTACTCGTATCGGTGCTAGGGCCGTCTTAAGCTTGCAGTGATGTGAGAGTTTTTTTTTATTTCGTGTTGAAGGCCTCACTGTGAGCAATAAAAATGTTGTTTCTTTGCTTTTTTGTGTATCTTGCTGTGCATTTACTGATTTTGTGTCATAGAAGGATACACCATATCCTTTCTTTTCTATTATGGTGACCAATATTGCATCACCCTTTGTTACTACTTCTATGTGTCTTCTGACATTCCACTACAATTTGAACAAGTTATGTCTCAGATCAACAAATAGGATTTTATTTCATAATGATTTGTCAGTATCCTTAATACATGAAGTGGTGACGCAGGTTATCTAGTATTACCTCAATATGTTTCTGTTCACCAAAACACTGTATAAGCAGGATAAGTATGGAAGACAAAGCTAAACTTTCATCTTGGAAGACTTGTTGGTATACTTGTAATATCTCTGCCCAGTCTAATTCACATACTATATGTGCCAATAAGTCAAATCCTTCATTACATTTCAACTCTTTGAACTGAATCATTGACTGTAAGACATATTTGTCTGGTTTTAAGTGTTTCCAAGGTAACTGACTCAGGACAGATGAATATACATTAATGATATGTGGTGGTGAAAGTTTATGGCACAAAACTCCAGCATAATACATCCAGACCTTTCCTAAGGTGTTTGGTTGATATGGAGGGATCAAATCTACAAACAAAAGAGCACTTCTAATTAGCCTTATCAATGGATCAATGATTTTAACTAAACTGAACCACTGATATTGAATTTCATAGTTCATGGACGAATAATTGGCTCATCGGATTCTGAATTTGAGGATTTGAATACTACAAATTTATAGAAAAAGTTTTTGAAGGGAATTTAAATTAATTGATTGGTTAACCTGTGAAAAATCAGTGACCAATCAATACAAAGTACTAGAAAAGACAACTAATATGGTTGACACTGTGCAATTATTTCTAAAGAAATAACATTTGATTTTATTTCTAGATTTTTTATCTATAATCCTTTTCTTACCTGCAAAACAGGTAAAAACATGTTCAAACACTGTCAAAGCAGATTCCACCATTTTTGTTCCGGACTCTGCATCGGACTGTATCCATGGTAACAGCTGTGTCTTTTCATTCTGTATTGTCTGTATCCATGGAGCATAGGTCTGTACAATAGTCTGCCATACCATGTCTAGAGCTAGAATAAAACAATATGTGCCCCCTATATATTACAGTATATAATATTATTTGAATTTTAAGTATATAAATTTAAAAAAAAAAACATCTGATTATTTTTTTACAATAAACTGTTGACACAGAGATATGTCTCGCCTTTTGTAATTTTGGTAGTATAATGCAAATGTTGAATCCAAATGGCAATATTTAAACATGTAAACTATGCAAAACATTCAAAGTCAATGAACCATGACTAATGTGCAGGACAAATAACCTCCATGGAAATGAGAAAAGCCAATGCTCATAAAACTGCATACCAAATACCAATGACTTTATACTAATCAAAACACAAACTTTAACTTGTAAACAATTTAAAATTTTCTAAGTCAATGAACCATGATCAGGGGATGGGGCCATATAATCTCCATGGAGAAGAGACTTGCAAATGCTAATACAAATGCATACAGAATATAATTGACTTAACATTAGTGGTATCTTCAACTGATCTAATCACAAACTTTAACATCTGACCTATGCAAAACATTCAAAGTCAATAGACCATAACTGAGGGGCAGCGCCAAATAATCTCCATGGAAATGAGATGTAGCAATGCTAATGTATCTACATACCAAATACCATTGACCTACCACTAGTGATCCCCCTTAAACTGACCTAATCACAAACTAATACATTGCTGTAGCCAACACCGACGTTGGAAACAGCATACATAATACATGTAAACTAAGCAAAAGTTTCAAAGTCAATAGACCATGACTGAGGAGTTGGGGCTAAATAATCTCCATGGAAATGAGAAGTGCCATTGCTTACACTTCTGCATACCAAATATCATTGACCTACCACTAGTGGTTCCCTATAAACTGACCTAATCACAAACTAATATATAATAAAATGCTTCGCTGAGCGCAGCTGGATACGACCGCAGAGGTCCAACCCTGAACAGTTGGGGCAAAAATGGACACAATATTCGCGCTTGATACAGGTCTGAATTTGGATTGTAATTAAATATTTGACACATACTAGGTTTCTGACACAGAATAAGTGTAGTCAAAGAACTTAAAATTGATTATATGATTTGAATTTATATTAAATTTTTTGCTTTTGTGCAATACACTATGCTGTTGAATATTAACCCCCCCCCCCCCCAAAAAAAAATTATTTCTGAAATCTGAAATGAGAAAAATTGTAGCCCCCCCCCCCCCCCCCCCCCGCACAAATTCTTATTTACCCCCCCCCCCAAATTTTTTTCAACTCCCCCTTTCCCTTATTCCAAAAATGATCTCAATTCAAATTTCTAATGGAGTTTGCAACCATAACTACTTATTTAAATACATCATAAAATATTAAAATATAAAATGACATACAGTCATCGTTAATATTAATATTAATTAATAGTAACTTCTAAAAATAAATTTACAGCTAATCATCATTTCTTAATACATAATTTACAAGCAGTGTAAGGGAGGTAATCAAACATATATACAACAGTATTCTTGAAATGGATTGCATTACCTCCCTTACACTGCTTTTAAATTGTCTAAATTGTCCTTTAACCATAAAAACCCTTGTTTTTCCCCCTTTTTTGCCCCTAATTTCTAAATGGTTTGAGCCATAACCCCCCATAACCATCCCTTTGTTGTATGGAAACTTGTGGTATAATTTCAGAGAGATTCATACACTTAAACACAAGTTATTGTCTGGAAACTGCTAAAATGCTTATTTGGGCCCTTTTTTTGGCCCCTAATTCCTAAACTTTTGGGACAATAACCCCCAAAATCAATCCCAACCTTCCTTTTGTGGTTATAAACCTCTTGTTAAAATTTTTTTGATTTCTATTAACTTATACTAAAGTTATTATCCGGAAACCATCTGTCTTCGGACGATGCTGACGACAACGACGACGACTACGTGATACCAATATACGACCTAAAAATTTTTAATTTTTGCGGTCGTATAACAAAAAATTTTTAATTTTTGCAGTCGTATAAAAAGTAAGTAAAAGTTTCAAGTCAATAGACCATGACTGAGGGAGCGGGGCCAAATAATCTCAATGGAAATGAGATGTGCCAATGCTAATACAACTGCATACCAAATATCATTGACCTACCACTAGTGGTTCCCCATAAACTGACCTAATCCCCAACTACCGGTAATACATTGTTGTAGCCGACGCTGACGTCGGAAACAGCATACCTAAGTTTCACTTTTTGACTCTCTCATGGGGAGACAATAAATTATGATTGTTAAAAATGTCATTGCAAGTACATGTAGTTAACTATTAACTTTCAATTTTAACATGATAAATTTGTTCACTTCCATTTATTATAACACAAAATTACATCACAACATGTTAACTTGATAACTCCAGTTTGAATTAACACAAAGTTACAATAGGCTACCCCCTCCCCATGTTAATGGAAGAGGATGATCATTTCAGACAGAGTCTTACATTCAGATAAATACAATAACTTAGACCTACCACTGACTGGATTCATGTCCGACATATTAGGAAGTATCTTATGCATCAGACAGAGTAAGAGATCACGTATCAGGTTCCTGATCTCATCAATATACCGAGCTAAACATGGATACAGACCAAATGCACTATTATCTGGCACTAAAAGTCGATTCTGAAGGAAAAAGTCTCCTAGCTGGTGCAAAACTGTTCTAATCTGAAATAATAAGCTTGATTCTGATATGGTGAACTACAGACATCAAATGAAATACATGTAGAAAAATATCAAATAAACAACAACTAGCAGAAATCAAAAATGTCAGTGTGTTTTTCATTATTTTTTCGCAAGTTGGGCAAGTCATAAAATGTGAAAACAAATCATATTTTTCACAGATAGTGCAACTAATAATAGAATCACATGGTATGTTTTAGATTTAACATGTGATACCAGCTATAATGATATTTTACCCATTGTATTTAACTTGTCTGATCTATGATTCAATGAATTTAACTAGCCTGATCCATGAATCAATGTATTTAACTTACCTGATCCATGGATAAATGAATTTAATTAGCCTAATCAATGCATGAATGAATTTAATTAGCCTAATCAATGGATCAATGATTTTAACTTAACTGAACCATGGATCAATGAATTTAACTAACCTGATCCATGGATCAATGAATTTAATCCAGCTTATCATTTGAACAATTAATTCAACTTACTTTATCTATGGATCAATGAATCTAACTTACTTGATTGATGAATCAATGAATTTAACCTACCTGATCAATGGACAATACAGTCATTTTCTGTGTTCCATTAATTCCTTCTTCTACATTTACCTCAAATATACATTTGTTTAAGATCTGCCAACAGTTCTCATGTAATGCCTGGTCAACAGAACCTAGTAATCATAGAGTTATTTTGCATAAGTTCTTTGTGCAGATAACTAGACACTAACATCAGATAGAAATTCACAACATTTGAAATAAATTTTAAATACAGGCTTGAGTGTTTTTTTCAACTTAGATATAGGCACATCTTTGTTTCTTGTGTTATCTTGTTAAATTCATTTATAATCATCACTAACTACCACATAAACAATGAAGTACATAACCTATACAATTGTAAAATAATTGGTGAAATCTTTGTGATAAATACTGGTAGCAAAAAATGTAAAACATATTGGAGGAAATAGTGAAGGGAGGCAATCTGGGCCTATTTAAATACACCACCAGGGTTTCCGCTGGCGGTCGCCATTTTCGCATTTTGCGAAAAAATAAAAGTTGTGGCGATTAAAATTCATTATTGGCGAAAGAATTTGGCGAAAGAAATATTATAACGATTTGATTTCATCCATCTTGTTTTTTTATTTTTTTCGGGTTTCTCGGACTTTACCTGATCAGACAATACTGGGAATTCACCTTGAACTCGTTACGATTTTAACAGAAAATCAATAAACAGCTGATTGCATTTTATAGCTGTAGGCAACAATGGACTAATTAATAAAGGTGTTGATTGTATTGTTTGAAGAAATGATGTGGTAAAATGGCGTCCGTCACATGTCACATAAAGGATTTATTAGCAACTTTGCGACGTACATGTTTGAAGCATAGTTTTATGTCTCCTCTCCTTCTTTTAGTTTAAACGATGGTCCGGAAAGGAAAACTGTTGTTATGACGAAAAATATTCAAAAGCAAGAAAAATCTCCAACTTAAACTTTATCCTTTATCTTTGATATAGATAATTGATTTGAGAGAGTACTTTCGTTTTGGCAACGCATGTGTTTCAAGCATAATTTTACGTCTTGACTTTTTCATTTACGATGGTCTGGAAAAGAAAACTGTCGTTATGAAGAAATATAATCAAAAGTAAGAAAAATCTCTGCCTTTATTCTTTATCCTTCAACTAGAAGGGAAATATATATCCGATAAACTTATTGAAGATGAATCTCATGTTCGGGGAAGTCAAAACGATGATTTCTATAATGCTATTTTTACAGTATCTTTTAAAAAGTAAATGTTTAGTGTTTATTCATTACAATGTAGACTAAAATATAAGATTAAGAGAATAATCATAGACATCAATAGGCAAACTCATTTTGGGGGGGAGGGGGGAGGGTAGAAAGAAGGAAAATTTTAAACGAAAAACATATCTATGTTACTTGGCAAAAAAAAATTGAAAGTGGCGAAAAATATATTGTTTTGGCGAAAGAGGTGGCGAAAAAAATAATTGACCCAGGGGAAACCCTGTACACCACTAAGAAATGTCTGTGTCCTACATAAGTCTGTGATTGAAGTGATCAATTTGGTCTTTTGAGTAAGTCTAATTCATTATACGTGTTATATACTTATTTTTTTAATAGATATAATATATTACAAACCATTAAGTACTAAATAATGAGATCTAAAATCACATTTCCAACCATACATGGCTGTGTATCTATACAAAAATCATTGTGGGGTCATTTTGGTCTGATTTTGTCACATATATCTTTGTCTGTTTGGTTAAAATTTTCTTATGAGCATTTTTAAACACAAGTTTTACCCCCATCTTTCAACAGTAGTTTTAAAAATGTATTTTATAAGAAATATATAGGTAAAATTTGTAGGTAAAGAATACTAATGTCAATTCACTGTAGCCCATCTTTATTCATTCATGCTGGTAACATATGTTCATACTAAAAAGGTTATTTCAATTCACCTTAACCTTCACTAAATAAAACAAGCATGCAAATGCAGAGTGAAATACTTTTTGATACTGTAGGCAGGGTATAACATGTAAAACCAACCAAATAATGATTATCACAGAAATTTATCTATAGTCTAAAAATCCATATATTTGTCTTGAACATCATTAAGAAAATATGTTCATGAAACGTAACACTTAAAATCTGTATGTTTTTCATCATTTGTTTTGCATAAAAAGTTGTATGTATGTATGTATATGTATATATTATATTATTTTATTAACCAACTTACTACAATATGTATAGAAATGCCCAAGCTTTATAAATGGAAAATTTCGACAACTGGTCATTATGAACGGAGAAATTGCTATAGCCAGTCATTACGAAATCTCAGCCATGCATTACGAAATCACACCCGTGCATTACGAAATCACAGCCATGCATTATGAACAGATGAAACGGGACATCGATTAAATCAAAATGTCGTTTATTTCTCTAAATAAGTGACATCTTTTTTAAATTTTTTTTTAACTTAATGTAAAAAAAAAGTTTAAATGATGTTCAGTGTTTTGTAATGTCTTGAAACGGAAATATTTCACAGCCTTTTCGAGTACGACTTTCGATTATTATCACTGTTTCATTTCCGATGATCAATCATCAGAACGCAGACTACTCAAGAGTAAGAATAGTTAAACTGTCTGATTTATTCTTCCCAGCTACTTTATATTTGCTAGATAAAATGAATTGTAATAGCATAACATTAAGTACTTGGACGAGAAAACAGAAATTACATCTGACAATGTTGACCAAAAATCCATCGTGAATGCGAAAAGACAAGTTCAGCTATGAATTCCTGTATCTTCTTCACAGTAAGTTTCTTAATCTTAGTTTAATCTAAGAATAAAAAACAATTTAATAAAAGTGTTATGAACCGGCTGTATTTGTATTGGCCCTGTTATAGATTCGTGGTTAGCTGTATTTGGACCCGAGACTGGAAGACTGTTCTTGAATGAAGTTGGTTAATAAAAGTATCAATATATGGACTTTTTCATATTGGCCCTGTAACATGCCCTTGGTATTAATAATGGCCTCGGACAGGTGTAATGGCCCTCGGTGTTGCTTCTGGGCCATTACAACCATCCTTGGCCATTATTAATACCTCGGGCATGTTACAGGGCCAATATGAAAATGTCCATACATTATTACTATAATATTTTAATTTATTCAGAGGGAATAAGGGGAGATTAGTATTGTACTAACTGATTTTCCCCTCTTTAAATAAAGTATTTATTATATTATTATTATTATTATATATATCATTTATAATAAAATAAATGTTTACTGATATATGTTTGTGGTTAAGCTTTAATGGCAATTATTTATTACTGACCTTTGAGTATGAGGCCTAGGACATCATTCAAATTACATGGAAAATGAAAGTTCAACAAAGACTTCAAGTGACTACAATATAGCTGAAATAAAATCATAGGAACTTCAGCAAAGACTTCAAGTGACTACAATATAGCTGAAATAAAATCATAATTATAAAATGATTGTTTCATTAGATATTTGTTCTCATTTAATAGAATTAAAGCATATTTTCCTCTGTAACACTATTTTGTTATTCTAGCAATATAAGATAAAATTGAGAATAGAAATGGGGAATATGTCAAAGAGACAACAAGCCGACCAAAGAGCACACAACAGCCGAAGGCCACCAATGGGTCTTCAACGCAGCGAGAAAATCCCGCACCCAGAGGTGGTCCTCAGCTGGCCACTAAATAAAATTGTGTGCTAGTTCACTGAAAATGGACGTCACACTAAACTCCAAAACATTTAAATGAACTAAAATTAAAAAACATACAAGACTAACATAGGCCAGAAGCTCCTGACTTGGGACAGGCGCAAAATTTGCGGTGGGGTTAAACATGTTTTGTGAGATCTCAACCCTCCCCCTATACCTCTAGCCAATGTAGAATAAAGAAACACATAGCAATATGCACAGTAAAACTCAGTTTAAAAGAAGTCCGAGTCATATATTCTATTTTTTGTGGTGAATAATCTTGTCAGTTTCATCACAGAACTCCAAGGGTTTTAAAGTTAGAGAGTGGAAATGATTTTTGTACACATGCACAGTGGTGGAAAAGTTGAACTAAATATTTCACCATGACATTCAGTTTAAAAAATAAGGAGATGTGGTATGATTACCAATGAGACAAATATCCACCAGTGTTCAAATGAAGTAGATATAAGCAATTTCAGGTCACCTCCTTGTACATGCACACCTTCTGAAAGTAGTGAATAATCATGTCAAGTTTGATAACTGAACTCCAAACAGATTAAAAGTTAGAGTGCGGAAACAATTTGTGACGGACAAATGCACAAGCTGATAACTATAGGTTGCACTTTTTAAGTACAGCTGAATCATAAACCATGCCTCTAAAGTTATATGAAACTTCAAATTCCAAAAAATAGTTGAATATGTTTTATATATTTGAATGGCTAAGTTTTACTATAAAACAAGTGTATGTGAACTTTCTTGTAAAAGAAAATCCTTTATATCACCAAAATCATCATAAATGTACAGCTATATTGAATTATTGTCTTCCCGTATACTGATTCACGGATATTTTCCCATATGCAGTGACCTTAACTTCAAGACCTCTTGTTAGAGCTTTAGCCAACCCACAGCCCAAAACCATGATGAAAGAATGTAAACAAGCATTCTGCATGGCAATACATAGTCCCCTACCTGTTAAAAAATCATTGTATTGGAACAAAATTCGAACTTGATCTATAACTTGTCATGATGTTAACTAACTAACAAACATCAAGTCATTATCATTAGGCATGACGAAAAAATGTGTTGAAAACTGATTACCTAAGTGAATTTTCTAAGTCCAAGGTTCATAACTCTGCATGAAATCATTTAACCGGAACAAATTCAAGCTTGATTTGTAACTTGTCATGATAAAACTATATACCAATTTTCAAATCAATATCTTCAAGCAAAACGAAAAAAAAGTGCAGAAAACTGATTATTTGAGTGAATTTTCTAATTCCAAGGACTATAACTCTGCACATAATCATCAAACCGGAACAAAATTCAAACTTGAACTGTAAATTGTCATGATAAAACTATATACTAATTATCAAATTAATATCTTCAAGGATGACAAAAAAAAAGTGCGGAAAACTGATTATTTAAGTAAATTTTCAAAGTCAAAGGACCATAACTCTGCACAAAATTATCAGACCGGAACAACATTTGAACTTGATCTGTAACTTGTCATGATAAAACAATAAACCAAATATCAAATCAATATCTTCAAGTATGAAGAAAAAAAGTGTGGAAAACTGATTTGCCGGACTGACGGATGGATGGACACAGATAGACAGACAGACAGACAGAGTGCAAACCTAAAGTCCCCTTTGACTTCGTCGGTAGGGGACTAATAAACGTGCACAGGAAGGTAAATAGTAATAACTGATTCTGAAAGGACAAATTTAATACAACAAATCATTTAACAACTGTTAAGAAAAAGTTTAATCAACAAATTGAACACATGGAAAATATAAAAAAAAATAATATCAATGCTATATCAATTCACTTATTTGTCACGAGCTACACCTGCTCTGTGTTGATTGTTTATCAATGATTTGGTAAACTTAGACAACAAACTTGGAAGTTAATTTACTTGCAATCAACAATCACTGAAGGAAATATTATTTGTAGATAATACATTATAAACTTAGTTTAGTATATATTCATGCATTGGTTCAATAATTTCGATAACATTAAAATTACAAGAACTCATTTCATATGACTTTAATATTCATAGATATTTTTTGTTTACCTACTGGTTCCCAGATATGATCTCCATGTTTCATTTCATAGAGACACAACTTGGGAATTTTACCAGTGTAAAGACAGTTGGATAGCAGTCAAAATAAATTCTCAGGAAGACGCAAAGTAAAGGGAGGGGAAGAACAGAATTTTAGTATAAGTTTAAACTCTTAGAAGTTCAAGGCAAATAAATGTTAAAAATATCCCACACAACCCTATTTTTTGACCTTTCCAAAACTAGAGGCTCTCAAGAGCATGTGTCGCTCATCTGTGTCTACTGTGGTTTTGCAAACCATGTAAAATAAGGTTAAAATCATATAGATACCCTAATAATGATTGAGGCCAAGTTTGGTTTAATTTGGCCCAGTAGTTAAATTAAAAGCAGAAGATTTTTGAAAAGATTTACAAAAATTACCAATAAATCGCAGAAAATAACTTTAAAGGACAATAACTCCAATAAGATGTCAATTGGCAATTGGCCATGTTAACTTATTTGTAGATCTTTCTTTGCTTGAAATTTTTGCTGTTTACAGTATATCTCAATCTATAATGATATTCAAGATAATTAACAAAAAATAAAAAATTTCCTTTCCTCCGCTCCAAAATTTATTTCACCCAGGGCCTGTATAATGCTGAAAATGCCTTTAAATGTTTTTATGGAACACTCTTCAAAAACAATTTAGGCAAGGGTTCCCCTAACCCCGACTAACAAGCCTGGTCTGGGGGATAATTCACCCAATATAAGTATGCTGAAAGAAAAGATATAATGTTGGTTTATAGAAAAAGTAACAATGAATAATTCTAAAAATGGAACATATCAAAGAGAAATTATTAGCACCCCCCTCCCCAAAAAATTGCACGCCCTGGAAAAAAATCAAGTCATCCCATTACAGTCTTACAATAGTAACTGAAGACCCCTTATCATTATTTAAATTAGTTTTCAAGTTGTGACCATTTGAAATTGTTTCTGACATTATCCCCATAGACTTCTATAGTAAATCACTATGTTCTATTTTTACCAATGGGGACCATGTTGGTTGTAGGGCAGGGTCATCAGACACATTTTTCAATCAAGATACTCTATTTATAATTGTGGCTAAGTTTAATTCCATTTGGCCCAGTAGATTAAGAGGAGAAGATTTTTGTAAAAGATTAAAAAAATTTATGAAAAATAGTGAAAAATTGACTTTACTTTAGTAATTCCTTAAGGGGTCAATTGACAATTTTGGTCATGTTTTACTTATTTGTAGATCTTACTTTGCTGAACATTTTTGTTGTTTACAGTTTATCTCTATCTATTATAATATTCAAGATAATAACCAAAAACTGCATAATTTCCTTAAAATTACCAATTCAGGGGCAGCAACCCAACAACGGGTTGTCTGATGCATCTGAAAATTTCAGGGCAGATAGATCTTGACCTGATGAACATTTTTACCATGTCAGATTTGCTCTAAATGCTTTAGTTTCAGATATAAGCCAAAAACTGCATTTTCCCCCCATTTTCTATAATTAGCCATGGTGGCCATCTTGAAAAATGGGCGGGGTCATCGGATACATTTTTTAAACTAGATAACTAAGGATGATCTAGGCTAAGTTTGGTTTTATTTGGCCCAGTAGTTTCAGAGGAGAAGATTTTTGTAAAAGTTAACGGATGACGGACGCCAAGTGATGAGAAAAGCTCACTTGACCCTTTTGGGTCAGGTGAGCTAAAAAAAGCAGTGTATTTGAACTTTCAATTCTAGGATATAATTTTCTATGAAAGTTCATAGTAAAAGTGGTACAGTTTAAGCCATATAAGGAGTTCCTAAGGGAAATTGCATTGTCTTTAATTACAGAAGTGCAACCTATAGGCATTCCCCTGCTTAATTTGCTGGGCCATAATAAAAGATTCATTAATAATTTATATCCACCCTTCATACTTTTTTTCTCATTAGTATTTTCAAATGAACATATATCCCTGCAGCTGTTTTTTTTAATGCAGTTGCAGTGAAATGGACATCTAGCAAGAATTTAGCCCAAACCAGGGAAAGGAGCTGCCTTGAACTTGCTTAACGAGAATTTTTTGCTCCATGTCCACTGTGATAAAGAAGAACCATTAAAACACTATGCCAATGATTTTGTTCCATATTGATTTTATTTCATGAATAAATACATCATATCCTTTCTTTTTCATTTTGTTACTTGCTTTTGTTTAAGACCAAATGCAATCTTTTATGAAGAAAACTTACTGCAAAGACCAAGCTGTGAGGTTTGTCTGGGTCTATACCACAGCTGTACAGGGCTATACCCAAGACATCTATTAGTCGCTTCATCTCTATCTGAGCAGGATTGATTGTGGACAACCATAATGGTATGTCAAACTAAAAATAGATATTTATAATAGATATTACAGTTATTCAGTATTTTCATCAAAAGTGAACTGATGATGATAAGGATATGTATATACACACAATATCTTAATTTAATAAAGATTCACTCTCTCCTTTTAAAAATTTTCAATAAACCTTAAAAGAGTTCATTATTTTTGTATTGGGTCTTGCAGATATTTGTCTGCATTAAAGATAATGAAATTGATCTGCTGTCAAATATCTAAGTTATACATCACAATACTATATTCTATTTATCATTGATAAACAATGTTTACAAATGTATGATACATGCATTTGGTGCATCTTTGTTTACATGTTGACATATTCATTTTTCTAAATAATATTTGTACTGGAGTGCTTTCCATAGTGTATGTTAATATTTGATAAAACCACATAATGTCGGTCCTTTGTCAGCTTCAAGATAGTTTGTAATTACTGAAAGCATTTACATACATAAAAGAAATTTTTGTCAGATTATTGATTGTTCAACAATTGTTTTCTTTTTTATCTTTATTCAATCATCATTAAATTACAAATTTGCCTTTGTTAGAAGAACAAAGACAAGATCTGGATTATCTCTCTTCAGAATCTGTACTAGTTTACCTTGGTTAGAAGAACAAAGACAAGATCTGGATTATCTCTCTTTAGAATCTGTACTAGTTTACCTTGGTTAGAAGAACAAAGACAAGATCTGGATTATCTCTCTTTAGAATCTGTAATAGTTTACCTTGGTTAGAAGAACAACAACAAGACCTGGATTATCTCTCTTTAGAATCTGTAATAGTTTACCTTGGTTAGAAGAACAAAGACAAGATCTGGATTATCTCTCTTTAGAATCTGTAATAGTTTACCTTGGTTAGAAGAACAACGAGAAGATCTGGATTATCTCTCTTTAGAATCTGTACTAGTTTACCTTTGTTAGAAGAACAAAGACAAGATCTGGATTATCTCTCTTTAGAATCTGTACTAGTTTTTCATACATTGTCACATAGATCCTAGGACTATTCAGAGGTATAAAATGTGGTGATATGAGACCAGCAAGGCGTGGAGAGTCCAATGAAAATTGAAGAATGTTCTCTGTCTGTGAAGGGTCCTTTTGCATAAACTCCTGAAAGGTATTTAGATAAGAAACATTGTTATAAATCTTCAAAAGAGAACCAAAAATCTTCTTTTATTCATAAATTCAGAAAACAACAGTGTAACCTGCAAGTAAAAATTTTACTGGTATACTTATCTTCTAAATGTATTAAGTTAAGTCACATAATAAATGTCTGTTTGTCATCAAATATATCTTTCCAACCTTAGTGGCCCCAGATAATAAATTACAGAGTAAAACCAATATGAACGTCCACAGTTCAATAAAATACATTTATGCCTACCATTCCTAATAAATCTATACAAGATGAGTAGAACTGTCGTGCTGGAGGGTAGAACTGTATATCATCGTTAATAGACTCAGCTAACTGGAAAAACAGGGTGCACACTGTATCATTCAATCTAGAAACTTTGATATTATCTGTTGAAGATCTAAACAGCTTTACTAGCATACTGAAACCAAAAATTATGTCAATGTTTTAAGAGTGAAATATTGATATAAAGAAATATTCTTAAGGCAATTGGATAAATCTGAAAATGGAAAATTTTGTCAAATAAAATACAAGAAATCAGATGAAATGAGGAGCTTAAAGTACTACCAAATAATTTGAATTCATTCTACATGTATTTAGTAATTTGAATTATTGTCAAATAATTTTAAATTGATGAAACCATGTAGTTGAGAGAATTATTCAACAAAATTTATACAAGTAGAAAAGTCTTACGTTAGTGCATTTTCCATGTGGACTACAGCAACACAAATATTAACAGGAGGTGGGTTTTGTCCTTCTATCAGCAACTGTTTATATTCTGCCCGGTTCTCATCTATTTGTCGTTGAACATTCTCATCTCTTGCTTTTTCTCTGACCTAATGAGAATTAATGTCAATATATCTTTAAATATCTCCTAAAAAATATTTCTACTCATTTCTCTAATTACTGTCAAGGTTCATAATTTTATCTAAATGTTATAACTTTAACGCAAGGATATGTTTCTCCAACATTGAAATAAAACAGGGATTTTCTATCCATGGACATCACCTATCCATTATCTTTTATAGCTCATTTGATTAAAAACTAATGAACATTAATACATGAGTCACATTTGCAGTGTCACATGACTAAGGTGTCAGACTTGAGCATCAACTTGAAAATGAGATATTCAGATCATAATACAGCAAATCAGCAAATCAGCTTTATTTGGCTTATTTATAGTTTTTCTTCTGTAAAACAATCAACACCAAAAGTTAAATTTATGAAGAATGTAAAAACTTGGATGTTACCAAAACATGAATGCTGTGATGAGTTCTCATATTCAGTTTGAAACTAACAAGCATGGGTGCTAATGCAATACCATATAAAATCATTATCATAAAGAAACATAAAAGCTCACTATTTGAATAACATAAAATGCACAACTAAGAGGAAGAACACAATACTGTTCTTGAAAATGAGTTATATCAACAGTGTATGAAATTATATTTTTATATTCTGTAAAGGGCCTCATCATAAAAATAAAGAAGTTGAACAACAAATGGGAGTTTTTAACGACCTTGACTGGCTATACAGCCCTTGCACGGTCGGTGAGAAGTTGAACTGTGAGCTATAGCTCACTAATAATACCCCCGCTATAAGTATTCGGTAAACAGAAAGTTGGTTTGCGATAAATGTGAAAATACATCACACAGTATAGCCTCTTCCAAAAACTCATTTCCAGAATCATGAATTTTACTCTAGAATTATGATTTGAAGTAGGTCATTTCCCTTGTCTGGAAGTAGAACTGCTTTGGGGCAACAAAGCTCAATAAAGAGTAAACGATAAGTGGTTTTTCATGCCTATTGATTTAAAGATAATAATTGGTTTATATAAATCATTAATGGTGCAAATGCCCCCTCTTTACTACCATCCCTAATATACCCCTTAATTACAATTAAATTGATATTCTTCATAGACTTACATTAACATTAATGACAGCTGGATTTGAACATTTGTGTAGTGGGTTAATATGACTTTTACATTCTGCCGTTACTTTCACCTGAAATGAAATATGAACTGGTGATCAACTGACAAATTAAAATCATGGTTGAAATTTCAAAGCTTATCTTATTTCTTCTTACAGTTAGCTTAACTTTCTCTTGAAAATTTACTCCAGTATTCTAAAATATTGCTACTGGTACTTGATACTCTATACTTGAAAACAATTTTTTTTCTACAAACCCGTCTTGCCTGTTCTTATTATCTGTCAAATATTTAATCAGTTTGTGTAGATATATGCATTTATTCAAATAGAATGTAAGTTATCCAGAAAATATTCATAATGCTGATTTTACTAGGTTCCGGAGACATAACTCCTGAATGGTAGTTGCCATCTTGACCAGTATTTAATGATCAATAATACAAAGAAGAAGGATATTCCTCAAAAGCTTGTCATCTGCTTACCAATTACTTCTAACATTCTGATCAATATTGAATAAAGTAGTCATTATATGCCCCCTACCAATTTATTTTATGATAATATACCTGTTTTTGGTTATTGTAGTGTAACTTGGGTAACAAAGTACAAAAATCATCATCTATGGCAACTTGGTGGTTACATCGACTGTGAAATGATCTGAAACAAACAATATATACAGTTATATGCTATCAGTATTTAAAAAGGGTTATAAAAGTTTTCAAAGTTTATCTAAATCTTCCGAACTTGACCAAACCAATAATGAGACACTGCTACATTTTTAACACTAAAAGAGGAAAAATTTCTTTTTGCTTTTATCTAAAAAAAAATAAATAAGAACATGACCTGTTAATTGTTTCATAAGTGATATATCATATTAGCTTCAAGAATGTCAAAGTTGCAAGAATAAAAATCAATGGTAGGTTTTTTTCTGTATGCATATCCAGTAACAGGAGGGCTTCCTTTCACCAATAATTGCTTAATTTTGCAATAGCTTTATGTAAACCAACTTTTGCTGAACTCAAAGTCTGTCATCAAAAAAGATATTACAATAAAATGCTCCGCTGGGGCGCAGCTTGATACGACCGCAGAGGTCCATACACTTGAACACAAGTTATTGTCTGGAAACTAGAAAAATGCTTATTTTTGGCCCCTTTTTGGCCCCTTTTTCCTAAACTTTTAGGGCAGTTACCCCCAAACTCAATTCCAGCTTTCCCTTTGTGATATGGAACCTTGTAGTACAATTTCATAAAGATCCATACACTTACATACAAGTTATTGTCATGAAACTAGAAAAATGCTTGTTTTTTGCCCCTTTTAGACCCCTAATTCCTAAAATTTGGAGGCAATTACCCCCAAAATCAATCCCAGCATTCCCTTTCTGATATTGAACCTTGTGATACAATGTCAGAGAGATCCATACACTTACACACAAGTTATGTCTGGAAGTTACAAAAATGCTTATTTTTGGCCCCTAATTTCTTAACTGTTGGTACCATAACCCCCAAAATCAATCCCCACCTTCCTTTTGTGGTATTGAACCTTATGGTAAAATTTCATTGAGATCCATTCACTTAAACTAAAGTTAGAGTGCGAAAACTATCGGTCTTCGGATGACGACGACGACAACGACGACGACGCCAACGTCATACCAATATACGACTACAAAAATCCAAAACAAATAAAACTGTCTCAACTCCTTTGAAAAGTTATGTCATTTGAACAGAAAAGTATAATAATTCTTGAGATGTCAAAATTAAACTGAATATCTTGAAAATGTGTTTTTCTTTTCTTATATCAAGAATACATATCAAGTAAGACTCTGTGTCAAAGTTTCAGGGAGAAATCGATGTAGGATCTCTACTTTTACTGTTTCTTATGTATTTCAACAATGCCATAAGAACCAACAGGTTAAAGACAATTATTTTTGTAAGCTTTGATAATTACTTGGCATATTCTTTAACAACATTCAGATCAGATTTGAGAACATGTAGAATGGTAGCTTTGTCCTCTAAAACAGTGACACTGATATCTGGAACTGGTGGTTTGACTGGCTGTAGGGGAGGTAATTCTGATGGTAATTCTGATTGTTTCAATGCAAATAGAATACCTTCTGCTCCTAAAATGACACAGTTCAAATAAAATATGAGAAAGAAATATAAATATATATATATAAATAGATCATCTTAATAATTAAATGTGAAGTCTATTAATTTCTAATTTAACAGTAAGATAAAAATATTCAAGATTAATATGATAAAGAAGGTTGAGAGTTATGCTATCTGAACTTATATTAAAACAATACAGATTTGTCCTGCATATATGACCATTTTTGAATCTGGGCCATAATACATTTTTTCTGTCTTTTTATTTTTAATTTTAAACTTGCTTTTGTATGTAATATGTATCTGATTACCACAAAGTATGTCTTTTTTAAAAATTAAAAATAGCTGAGCCATGCCAAGACTGAAGACAATAAATCTGAGCTTATAACATGACTGATATTTAAAAACTCTTACTAAAAAAACAACATTAAGAAAATGACTTTCATTCTTTGTAATAATGTTGTTTCTAAAATCCATCCCTTAATGTAAAATGACTTTACCATGTTTGATATGATCTGTATGGCGTAAGTAGGATTTTCTAGGTGAGCCAGGTTCTGCTGAGTGATACCATTCACTTGCTGTCTGTGATAACTCATATATAATTCTATCAAGATCTACATACTCAAACCATAAATCCTGTAATATAGGACACCATAACACCTAGTGTAGAACATCTTCATTTCCTTCAGTCTTGTTGATCATTTAGTTTACTGTATCAATAATTGTTATTTTTAAAGAAGTTGATTGATGTGAAAACTCAACCGACTCACTCAAAACTGATGGAAGTTTAAAGGACTTCATGTTCTGTTTATGAGTGAAAAACAGATTATATTCAACAAAGTCTGTAGAAAACTGTCATTTCTATTTCTATTTTTCTAAGTTCAGAGATAAATAAGTTTAACCTCATCTCAACAGATTAAAAATTGAAAAGATCCAAAAAAACCTTTTTATGACATATTTTAACAGAAATTTTCTCACTGAAATAAAGCATTGTCATTTTGCTACTTACTTGCTAGAAGGTTCATGTAATGTAAATCTGAAATCCATTAAGACCATCTTAACATCAATAATAGACAGATAGGGTAATTTCAAAATCAAACTTGAACAGTAGGGTTTATACTAAATTGATATAGCTGATAAGTTTAATCTATATTAGATAACAAGAATTTTCAGCATCATGTATGGATTAAATAGTGATTAAAATAAAAGCCTAGAATACCTGGAATTTACAGGTCATGACTAAGAAATTCAATATATTTAATGGTAATAAAAATAATAGCCTCAAATACCTAGAATTTACAGTTCGTGCCTAACAAATAAAATACAAATACTCCCCTCTTAAAAGTCAAACTTTTAAAGTATATAGATGATTTTTTTAGCCTTTTTTATTGATTTCTTTTTTTTCACATTCATGAACACAAAACATTTCATCATATTAGTCAAACTTTGATAGTAAATAGATAAATAGCTCGGTCAATTTTTTTCATTGATTTCTTTTTGTTTACATAAAAAAGAAAAAAAGATTTGCTTTTCAACTATTTCCAACGATCCCTCTATGGTATACTAGTATTCAACTTCATGAATTGTAAAGAATATTTCATTTGAATAACTTACAGTTTGGTTTTGAAACATTTGAAGTAACTTTCCAGTTTCATATTGTGCAGGAAGAGCAGGGATGTACAACTTAGCATCATGGAGGAAAGGTTCATCTATCCACAGCTGATAGGTCTGGTAAAGTCTGTTCAAAGAAATCAATTCAGTTTTTTTCTAAATAAATGGTCAATATAACATATTTTTTGCATTATCCTTTAAAATAAACCATTTTCTTAAATATTGTCATAACAATTATCTTGTAGATACCTATTTCACATTCATTCTTATACGTTTGTTACAAACATGTTTATGTGTTCTCTATCCCAATCTTGTAATTTATATAACGATGAGAATTATACTTATCTTTTCACACTTCGAAAATCTTACAGTTGTTATGCAAAAAAAAAATTCTAAACAAGACGTATAAAAGGAGAAGATGGTAATACACAAACAGCAAACCAACAACACAAATAACCAAAAGACATCTGGAGGTCATTCTTCAACAATAGACAAGAACTAGTATTGCTTACAGCAGAATTCTCACATGAAAACTTTGTTCTTTTTAAATAATGTCAAAAAATTCTCAATCAATTTAGGGACTAGTAAAATCAGTGACTGCAGAATTAACAATTAATATTAATTACTACTATTCTTTTTTAATAAAAAGATGTCTTACCTTGCTAAATTTAGATGGAATTCCTTCTTTGATACATATCTGAAATTTTCAATATTGTTATGCTGATCATCAGCATTACTTTCTGAAAAAAAATATGTAAAATATGTCACAGGATCATACAGGTTAAATATTATCAACAGTAATAATCTATTACCTGTGCAACCATACAATATAGGGTTGTAGCTGTGATTTTTATACGTACATAAATATCTTTTTTGTCAGTTATGATTGTTTAATATTTGTTTTCTTTTTTATCTTATTTAAATTTGTTAAATGCCAAGAAGTTGCTTTCTGTCAAGTTTTTCTTTCTAGCTTTGTTCATTTTGGTGTGTTCTTGAATGGAACTTTTTTGAAGGTTTTCAGTTCCATTATATTTCATCAACAATGCTGTGGTGATTTATTTGGAATTATTTGTTGGTTTTAAATCTTCTCTTTAATTACTGCAGAAGTTAGTTGCCCATATGCATGGAAAAGAAAGGGAAGATTTAAATATGAGCCCAAGATTCTACAAGTTTTACAAAATTATTTAATCTAGGAAGAAAATGATTCTTACAAATTTCCACAGTTTTGTAGTTTCAGATGAATATGGCTCATAAAAGCTTTAAATTTAATAGTAAATTCTGAGGTTTATAAATGAAAAAGAGTGAGCTATGAAGTAACTGAAGTAAAAGAAATGCTGTTATTTCAAATTGTGAATTATTTCACTTCCATAGGATATCAAGTTATTTGTAACTATCTATATATGATATTTATTCTCAATGGCAATGATTCTTTATAGTAGATACCAATTCACTTTAAGATAGACTTCCAAAAACATGTAAATAATTACAATAAATTCATAAATTTTGGGTATGTCCATTTAAAAAAAAAATTGCTGATCAACTATGGAACAGGACATGGTTGTATAGAATTGTGTAATGTTCTATTTTAGTCATCCTAAAATGAAACAAGTGACATGCTTCCAAACAATTTTAAGGGCATACGATACAGTTTTGATCCCATGGTGATTTTTTGACGAAAATTTGCATACAAGTTAATTAACTTAATTTTAACCTAGTTAATTCATATATGCAATAAAAAATATATCTTCATGTTCTCTTTTAGAGATAAAAAGGGTAGAAATGTTTGACATTTACTCAAAATTTCAGTTTCTTGGACATTTCTATCCTTTGAACAGACACATCTCTAACTTTTTTGTTTCAAAAGATAATCACAAGTCGATTTTTGTAAAAACATTTGAAATATCGTATTTACATATGCATACCATAAGTTTATGGTAACAATTCTTTGGAAATACAAATTGGTTCAAATTAACTTCATACATGATCAAGTCAAATGTCTTTTTAAAAAAAAAGGGTCCATGTACTCGTTTTCAAGCTAATGATTAAAATCAGTCGAAAAATGCATCTTTTTATGATATTTCACAGTTTGGCATAGCTAAAAATAGCATTTTTCGTTGACAACGTCATTACCTCCCCTGTAACTGCATCGTATGCCCTTAATATAACTATTCCATCAATACCGTAGAAAGGCTTGTATAGTTCGCACTGGTACATAGTCCGCACCCCCTTCTCCCCACGAAATTTTAGGTAAAAAAACTTTTTTGTAACTGTTAGAAAAGGTCTAATGAACCTCCGGTAATTTCAAATCCTGTGCGGTCGTTTGCGGTATTTTCTTGGAAAAACCTGTTTTCCATCATCAAACAGAAGCTGAAACTGCTTGTAAATGATTCTAAAACGCTTCATGATTGTTAAAATTAGTTTAATTCACTTAAAAAACAATTTAGAAACTTGTGTATGTTTAAACAGGAAGTTTAAAAAGCACGTGTAAAAGAAGAAATTAACCGGTGGGAGTCGAAATCCGTACATAACAGATATCACTATAATACGACTTTGAAAGTAAAACAGTTCCATCCTTTTGTAAAACAGTCTTTAATATATCTATCACATTAATGTTTGAAGGGTCTTAAGCTAATACAAACCATATTTATTATTAGTCAGTATGAAACACCAAAACGGAACGAACAATAACCGATTACGTTTTGTAGTTTACAAATTCTAAGCTGGTTTACGGTTGTCTTTTTCACTATGTTTGTATCGTTTTAATCAAGCAGATACCAGTTTATTTCAACCAATGCATTGAAAAGAAACGAGAAATTTGTAATGAAAGGTTTAATTTTATATATTTATCAGTATTAATTTGATATTGAATAGAAATAACTTATTAATATGGATTAGTTAAAATTATTAGTTTGAAAAATGATAAGAGCGCCCTCTACAATATAAATAACATAGATGGCGGAACGTAAACAAACCACCTCACCCGCGAAATTGAAATTTTTCTCTTATTTCTTGCTTATTGTACTCTATAGTCCGCACCCCTTCTGGAAGGTCCAATTTTGGAGAATAAAACCGCGGACTATACAAGCCTTTCTACGGTATTCATATATTTTCATTATTTGTTTTTTGTATTTGGCTATAAAAGTTAACCTGATGTTGCAGTGGGATAGTCCATATGTAAATTGATTGCTTCATTAAATCTTTTCTTTATTTTCTTCAATGTGCCAGAATGTCCAGACACTTCAAACATTTTCTCCCCAACACTGGCCCTCTGCTGATTACTGAGAAAAATATAATAAATTTACATAAATAAAACATATTGGAATCTTGTAATAAAGAAAAGTAAAATAAGAAACTGCTTATGAAACTTTTGTTTTTAATAAAAAATAATTTTAAAGAAGAGAATGACTATGATTTTCATGCAGTATGAGCCCTGTGATTATTTGAATTTAGCTAAACTATCTACTGTTTTCTGTCAAATTTGATTCAACAATGTTAGAACTTAATGATAACATCATAGTAAAATATTATAATCAAACAGCAAGAAAATTTTCTACACATGTTTGAAATTGTTGATACAAATAGTTACACAATATGCCAATTCATAGTGTCTAATAAAAGAGACATACCTAGCTTGCGAAACTTGTCGTCCAAGGAATAAAAGAAAGAATCGCTGACAAATAAGAGGCAATACTGGATGGTCTATTGGCAGATCTAACATGAATCTAGAAAACCTATATATAGTCATGCTGTTTAATCCTGGAGCTTGTTCTAACTTCAATCTACTGACACATTTCTGAAATTAGAAGAAACTAGATGATATGTCTGTATGACGAGGGTATCCTGCTTTACAAGATTTAAGCGAAAAAACTTGCTACAATGTACCATGATAAAGTGCTTGTATAAAAAGTTATCCAGAAACTGTTTTGTTCTGATCTCTTTTTTCTCTTCGTTTGTTTATTGTAGTAGGGATATTTTATGAGTGGTTTTGTTATCAACCTCTTCTTTTTGCTGAAGACCTATTCATATATCAAACCTTTAAAGCATGAGATGGAGAAGCTTTTGAGTCAGTGTAAATTTCTTCTCTAAATGAATGCCACAGTTGTGTTTCTTTTTCATATGTGAACTCCATGTCTAGTAACACTAAAGACAACCATCCAAACAGTTCAGGGTTACACATCACTTCTGTTAATGAAGGAATCTGAGAAAAATTAGCTCCTGATGAAACCCAGTTAACAAACTGGGACACTGCACCTTGTTGATGGGTTTCCTTTTGGTGTCTCTGGAAATAAAAAATCAAGTCTAATGATTTTTATAGCAACCAAATACTAAATCAATTGTTATCAATTTTAAAGATATTCATATAAAGTAAGACATATAGTACATCTAAATTATTGATTACTCAAGCAAGTTTGGGAAAAATCAAAAATAACTTTTCTGGGTAAAATTTAAAATATTATATACTGAAAAGCAACAGCTGATTTTAATCAGAATGATAGGAGTATACCTTTCTAGACGTTTCTTATCTATTCAATTTAGAGTTTGAGTTATGGTATGGACACATGTTTACATTGCATACATTATTTTCATCTTTAGATGTCCTTTTAAAAAATCAATTTGTTGTTGTCTCATTTTTCACATATATATATATACTCAACATCTCCTTTTATTCCAGGGTTCACCACAGAATGAAAATCAAGGGTGGGGGAGAAAGTTCATCAAATCAGAGATTTTGTGTTTCTAGCAGTTTATAAAATCATATGTGTTATGTAGAATTTTATTAAATTAACTCCCCTCTTTTCCAATACAATTATGTAAAGGAATTATATATCCAGTTTTACTCTTTTCTTACTTTAAATGAGTTTTAAGATAAGAAAACTCCTATCCCAGATCTAGCTGTCCAAAAATAACCAGACAATGTTTGTCTGTTATTTAGGTATTCCCCAGTATTTTCCTGCCAAAAGAGATCATGTGACATTGGTGTCAACAAAAGGACCTTGTGGTCAGGGAATCCATTTGTTCTCTGGATTACTGCTTTTATTAATCTAGTTAGGATATAAACATTCCATTTAAGGTATAGTCAAACATATATATTTATAAAATAACTGTAGTTTGCAAACAAGTTTTACTTTTCAATTTGAAGAAATTGGGTCATGATCGTTCATTGGTTGTTACCTTGTTCAACCACGCGAGACCATGTAAATACTATAATCAGCTGTCAGTCTACATCCCTTGAGGCAATTAACAATAATTCGACTTCTTAATTGCCACTGACATGATAATTGGATTAGGAATATCTGAAATTTAACTTCAATCTATTGAATTTTCAAGTGTGGCGGACAATGAAATAAGCGTGGCGTTGGGAATTTTAGCGTGGTGCTAGAAATTTAGCGTGGCGCACTGCCATCCTTAAATAGGTTGTGGTGATCCCTGTATTCATATGCATACCAAAATCGTTAATCAATAAAAATAATTATTCCATATTGATAGAACTTTAGTAGGTTTTTCTATATGAATGGGATTTTGAATAAATAAGCATATTCACCTGCGGAAAAAGTATATTCACCGCGCAAAAAGTCGCGTGCTTTTACGTGTATAATAACGATACAATGTTTGACGTTTAGTTGGTTTTGGTAAATAACTGTTATTTTATACATATTTTTCTCGCTCGGAACATGGAATAAAACAATTACTGTCTTTTGTTTCGGTAAATATGTGGTTTAATTGACTTTTGAAAAACCTAGTGACATTCACTTCGGCCGTTGGCCTCAGTGAATATCAGTTTTTCGAAAGTCAATAAAACCACACATTTACCTCATCAAAAGACAGTAATTGTATATTATTACATTGGTTGCAATGAATTACATTGATTTCCCAGTGAAATAAAAACCGATAATTTCACATGTGAAATAAACGTGGTTATTTCACTCCTCTGACGTCATACAACAATAGGCGTTGTCATGACGTCGGATCAAAACAAATTGTGAATGCTTAGAAAAAGATATAGTTCCTTACATATTCTAGTTTAATTTCAGAAAAAAGACCATTTGCCAATGTAATAAAAAGAATAACTAATCAAAGAATTCAAATATCGAAAAATATTCAACTCGTGACCGAACAACACTAATAATAAACTCATGCGCTATGCGCATTCGTGAATTAATGTGTTGTTCGGTCACTCGTTGAATATTTTTCTCTATTTGAATTCTTCGATAAGTTATTCTATAATTATTTTTTAACATATATATTAATTTTTTTACTAAATAGAAAGCTTTACACTTAAACATTTTTACCTGAAAAGCTTCCTGCAGGGCAGTCTTCACTGTGTCTAATCCACTCTTATGTCTAAATGCTGATTTAACTGTTTGGTCCAATACATAGCATGAATTTCTAAAAAAGAGTTTATACAGCTGTGCTGAAGAAGACTGCTCCTTTATTTTTTTCATTGCATTCAAATAAGAAAATTAATTTCCAAGTTGAAATTTTATATTTGATATGTTCCAAGAATCTACACATAAAGAAAAACTAATATTTACGTTTTTTTTTTCTTTATCGCTGGATCTATTTTTTAAAACCCCTAAATTGCATAATATATAGAAAAATCTTGTCATCATATCACTTTTTTGAGGGGTTGTGTTAAAACAGATGAAACCTCTTTGATTAGGAGTTCTGCTATAATAACAAATGATACGAGCTAGATCAGTAGTTATAGTAAATCTAATGTATCTATCTTCTCTATCATGACACCATGTTTGGTAAGGGGTTATATTTTAATAAATGTAGGTGTTGTCTCACTTATCATGGTACCACTTTGGTGGCTTCGTTAACATCTTTATCCAGAAACTGATGCCTCTCATGACACCTGCTACATCTCCTTGGTTCACAAAGGTTGATAACTGACCCTGTAAAATTGGTTGTACAAATTTAATTGTATTATCAACTGAAAATGCACTCAAAATATACATGTGCAGAAATTCTATTAAAACTAGATAGAAGTCTTTAATGGGAATTAATATTTAAGCATATCAGAAAAATTTATCATATGCCCTTAATCAAATTATTTGAGGTCAGTAGTTGAAACTAGAAATTCAGAAATATTATCATTGCAAAAATTGCGATGGGACAGCAAAAATAAATAAAATGCTCCGCTGGGCGCAGCTTGATACGACCGCAGAGGTCGAACCCTGAACAGTTGGGGCAAGTATGGACACAACATTCAAGCTTGATACAGCACTGAATTTGGATTGTGATTAAATATTTGACACAGCATAGGTTTCTGACACAGAATGAATGTGGTCTAAGAACTTAATAATTTTGAATTTACCTATTGAAACCATATCATTATTATTTGCTTTTATATATAAATCAGAAATAACCAATTTAAAATGGAAAATTTTAAAGAAAAAAAAGGAAAAAAGTGAAAAAAAATCCCCCCTCCAATTTTTTGAACCCCCTTATGATTCATCACCCCCAAAATCAATCCCAGCCTTCCTTTTGTGGCATGGTATCTTGCAGTACAATTTCAGAGAGATCCGTACACTTGAACACAAGTTATTATCTGGAAACTAGAAAAATGCTTGTTTTTTGGCCCCTTTTTTGCCTCAAATTCCTAAACGTTTAGGGCAAATACCCCCAAACTCAAACCTAGCTTTCCCTTTGTGATATGGAACCTTGAAGTACAATTTCATAAAGATCCATACACTTACACACAAGTTATTGTCCTGAAACTAGAAAAATGCTTGTTTTTTGCCCCTTTTTGGCCCCTAATTCCTAAAATTTTGAGGCAATTACCCCCAATATCAATCCCAGCCTTCCCTTTGTGGTATGGTACCTTGCAGTACAATTTCAGAGAGATCCATACACTTGAACACAAGTTATTGTCTGGAAATTAGAAAAATGCTTATTTTTGGCCCCTTTTTGGCCCCTTATTCCTAAACTTTTTGGGCAATTACCCCCAAACTCAATTCCAGCTTTCCCTTTGTGATATGGAATCTTGCAGTACAATTTCAGAAAGATCCATACACTAAAAGACAAGTTATTGTCATGAAACTGGAAAAATGCTTGTTTTTTCCCCCTTTTTTTCCCCTAATTCCTAAAATTTTGAGGCAATTACCCCCAAAATCAATCCCAGCATTCCCTTTGTGATATGTAACCTTGTGGTACAATTTCATAAAGATCCATACACTTACCCACAAGTTATTGTCCTGAAACTAGAAAAATGCTTGTTTTTTGCCCCTTTTTGGCCCCTAATTCCTAAAGTTTTCAGGCAATTACCCCCAAAATCAATTCCAGCCTTCCCTTTGTGGTATGGTACCTTGCAGTACAATTTCAGAGAGATCCATACACTTGAAGACAAGTTATTGTCTGGAAACTAGAAAAATGCTTATTTTTGGCCCCTTATTCCTAAACGTTTGGGCAATTACCCCAAACTCAATTCCAGCTTTCCCTTTGTGATATGGAACCTTGTAGTACAATTTCAGAAAGATCCATACACTTACACACAAGTTATTGTCATGAAACTAGAAAAATGCTTGTTTTTTGCCCCTTTTTTGGCCCCTAATTCCTAAAATTTTGAGGCAATTACCCCCAAAATCAATCCCAGCCTTCCCTTTGTGATATGGAACCTTGTGGTACAATGTCAGAGAGATCCATACACTAACACACAAGTTATGTCTGGAAGTTACAAAAATGCTTATTTTTGGCCCCTTTTTGGCCCCTAATTCCTTAACTGTTGGTACCATAACCCCCAAAATTAATCCCCACCTTCCTTTTGTTGTATTGAACCTTATGGTAAAATTTCATAGAGATCCATTTACTTAAACTAAAGTTAGAGTGCGAAAACAAATGTGTTTGGACGACGACGACAACATCGTACCAATATACGACCGCAATTTTTGCGGTCGTATAAAAATCACATTTAAAATTTTGATAGCATTATTTGTACACAACATTTACTGATACAGGAAAAATTAATCTGGCACTTTTGTCCATTGTCTAAACAAAACATTATCTGTGGAACCCAGTGTCTCGCCTGCGATATTTGCTGTCAGTGAAAAAGTGTGATGTTGACTGTAAAAGTGAGTCTATTTATCAGTAAAGTACAGAATTTAAATTAAAAAAATCAATTTATTTCTTTCGATCTTTAAGATAAGTTTCTGTCAAAGTTTCATACAATGGAATCCTGTTCAATGAATTTTTTAAATGATCACAAACCTCAATCATTGTAGAAAACCACTTAGTAAATGGTCCAGGGAATTCCTGTGACCAGATAATCTTAGAAAGCTTTGAGGCAGACTCATCTGCTACCATCAGTGACTGTATTATCTTCTGAAACCTATGAAAAACAAAAAAAGGGGGGTATTAAATATATAAATTTATTCGCTCTATAATCTGTATGTAAAATAGTTAAAAAAAAGAAACTATGCATCCTAGAAAACTGTCTAAAATTCGTAAGTTTTATTGTGCTCAATATGACCATGACAAGATTTAAAAAGTCAATTCCTTTACTTCCAATATTCTTAAAACATAAAATTTGATCATGTAAAGATATAAAGTTAATGTTATAAATATATTTTAATTTTCAACATTAAATATAAAGAAAAAAAGTTAAGAATAAAGCAATTAAAATACAGTGTGATCAATGTGCAAAAGTTAGTTCTTAATATCTTTAAATTTTCTTACTTTTCATTATCTGTTAGAATATGTGGATTCTCAAAGAACATATGAACAATACAGTTCAATACATTGATAGTTGGTTTGTAGTGAAAGTTCTCTGACAATGTTGTTAAGTATTCTAATCCTGCTGGTATAAAATCTCCATACCTAAAAATATGCAAAAATCAATTATTCTACATGACTGTACGTTTAAGGAATAACAGTACTGTGATTAAAGAGTTGCCGCCGTCAGTTAGTGATTTGACAGTCGCAAATGCAGTTTTACTGTTGACGCATGGTACAGACAGTAAAACAGATATTTGCGAAAGTCAAATCAAAAAGACTTATTGTTTATAGTATCAAGAAACAAAGTTATCCAGGAAAACATTGACAATGAACCATGAAAATGAGGTCAAGGTCAGATGATACCTGCCATACAGACATATACACCTTACAATCATTCCATACACCAAATAGAGTTGACCTGTTGCTTAAAGTTTAAGAAAAACAGACCAAAACACAAAAACTTAACATTGAGCAATGAACCATGAAAATGAGGTCAAGGTCAAATAAAACCTGCCAGACTGACATGTACATCATAAAATATTTCCATACACCAAATATAGTTGACCTATTGCATACAGTATTAGAAAAACAGACAAAAACACAAAAACTTAACTTTAACCACTGGACCATGAAAATGAGGTCAAGGTCAGATGACACCTGCCAGTTGGACATGTACACCTTACAATCATTTCATACACCAAATATAGTAGTCCTATTGCTTATAGTATTTGAGATATGGACTTGGCCACAAAAACTTTACCTTGTTCACTGATCCATGAAATGAGGTCGAGGCCAAGGGAAAACTGTCTGACAGACATGAGGACCTTGCAAGGTACGCACATACCAAATATAGTTATCCTATTACTCATAACAAGAGAAAAATTAACAATACAAAAAATCTAAACTTTTTTTTCAAGTAATCACTGAACCATGAAAATGAGGTCAAGGACAATGGACATATAACAGACCGAAACTTCATATCATAAGGCATCTATATACAAAGTATGAAGCAACCAGGTCTTCTACCTTCTGAAATATTAAGCTTCTAAGAAGTTATTTAACACTGCCGCCACCACCGCCAGATCACCATACCTTTGTCGAGCTTTCTGCGACTTTTGTCGCAGACTCGACAAAAATTACAAATGCAAACGCTCAAACCGAAGATCATGTAATTACTTGTAAGATTCAGATTTGGATAAAATCTCATTAAAACGTTGTTTTTAGGTAGGTTATGTTTAATTTTCAATTTTATTGGATTAAAAGAGCATTTGTGGATTCCAGAATGGCTCAAGGCATGTCAACTATGGATTTAAAGGTAAATTTTAGTCAATGAAAAAAAATAAAAAAAGTTGTTACATAAAGATTGCACTAGAATTTTGCAGTATACCAAACTGATTAACTGGTAAAAAATCTTTTGTTTGTAACGGGTTTTACTTTTGCAGCAACAGATAGATAATACTTACTGTGATTTTGAGATGAAAAACAGCATTAAATGTGCTATTGGTTTACTTTAGGTTCCTCAAGTACTAGAAGGGATTTTATGTCATGAGTTAAAACATAATATCCCTTCTTTTCCATTACAACTATAAGAATCAAGCAACTGGCCCTGTTTTGGCTACAACAAAGCCCCTAAAGTCATTATCAACAATTCAACTAGATGATGAGAAACTTCCATTTCCTGATAAGGATTATATTCATGTCTGGTTGGTTTAAATGTGATTTATTTTAAAAAAGGAGTCATAAATATTAGAATGTTTTATGAAAAATGACATAAGAAAACTCAGAGAAATGTCAATGTGCTGACCCTACTATGCAGGTGAAAGAAAATTGTTTTTAAAAATTCAAAGAACAATAATTTAAATTTCTATTGCCAAAGCATAATTAAAAACTTTATGTAGTATATACATGGTACATTTTCTTGAAGTTCATCTCAACGTCAACAATTTATACCAATAAAATTTGTGCAAGACAGGTATATAGCAAAGTTAATTGTTTATAATGAAGCTAGGCAACTTACTTATGGCCAATATTAGAAACAAGTATAGCAACATAGCAAGCCATAGCATTCTTGTCCTTCAGGCCTCTGGTGACAGGAAGAAACGAATTGTCATTGGCCAGATCTGGTGGACCTCCTTCTGCATTGACTAACTGAACATCATTAGGTGGGAGTGTAGTGTGGTGTAGGTGGAGTTTCAGAGCAATGTCCCATGCCCAGTTGTTAAACAGTTGTTCAATGGTCTGTTGTTGCTTTACAACTGATGCCACCTGAAATATAAAACCACTGTCTTTATCTTCTAGTTCTTTAGTGACTATTACCATTCCAAAATCATCAATTTTATAAACTGTCTGTAGATGCCAACTGTCTTTCAATTGTGGGTACAAGTTACACAATGTTTACAGAACACCACAAAAAAGACATTAAAAATCTAACAATTTACCTGCTTTATAATTCTATCCCTGACACAAAACATTTCTACTGTATAGATAATTAGGCAATGAAGCTTGAAAATTATCTATTTTACTCAATAGCTGGATAGATATTATTTAAATCATATTTCCCTTATGAATATAATACAAGTATATTATAAAGCAATATCTGTGAATTCATTACTATTTGTGGGACACCAATTTTTGTGGATTTCTTGAGTATCAGTGAACCATGAATTTAAATGTTAAATTAAGTAAAAATTTTCTATCTGCTAAGCAAACTTTGGCAAAACTATGAAATCAAATATCCTAGAATATACAATTTCCTCCATCTACGAAAATTGGTACCCACAAAAATAAATGAATCCACAGTAGCACATTAAATAATGACTAGGAAAATGTTTTGCATAAGTGTTTCCTCTCTAATGCATTCTATATTACTTGTTTCATTCCTTCTGTGAAGAACATCCAGTGGTGTCTGCTTCCAATAAATTTTCCATAAGCCTGTGTTAACAAAATGGCAGTCTTCTTATGTACATCATATGGAATGAACAGTCTGTTTTTCTATAGCAAAAGTAAAAAATAAGGCAATATATAATGAGTCCTGGTCAATGTGAGAATCGATCAACATTTTCTAAAAATATATTCTCGAAAAATGGTCTAAAAAAGCCTAACCATGAATTTGATTTTAAATTTACAAAAATAATAGCTACCTTGTTTCTTTATATCATTTAACCCTTTAAAATTTTTCTACAGAATGTTAGTCAAATAGGTGATGATATAAATTATCTTCTTTCTAAAAATGTGAAAGTTTTCAAAAATCTTGAATTTTAGGTATTGAATAGTCTTTTTCACTTTAACTTTCAATGATTTTTTAAATTTGACAAATTAAACACAATAAAACCAACAAAAAACAAGTTGGTGAATTATAAAGGGAATTACTAAAATTATGCAGTACCTGTTGGTCAACACCCCAGTTTATATTACAGAGTACAGACTGAGCTAGTTGATTGGTTTTTGAAGTAAGTTCAGAGGTCATCAGCCATTCCTCAATTACAGTGATATCATTGTCCATTGGTAGCCACAAGTGGAATGGTAGTGTTTGAAACAAATAAAGTGACATCTATAAAAAAAAAAGAAACATTTTCATAATTATGTGAAAGTTCTTTACAGTTGTTCCATAAAAAATACAGAACAACAATTTATAATATTTGCACTTTCAATATTAACAAGAAATTGCACAGGTTGTTGTGATAAGCATATCCCCAGTGAACTGGTAATTCAAAGTATAAGAAAAACAGGAAATAGGTGTTAGAAAAAAAACAAAAAGTGCTAACACTTAACAACTCCATCACTGTCAAACTTCTGACCAAATAAGAAGGCATTCCACTCAGTAGTTCCTGAGAAAATTGTAATGGAAATGGTTGTTAAACAACTACACAAAAGAACAAATAAAGCAACAACTACACCTAGAAAGGGGTATAATAAGAAATATCACTTATGTTATGGGTACGTTCACATGCTTTCCCCTAATTGTTGTGGGCTTAATGTTTCAGTAATAATATGTTTCCCTAAGGCTTTACAATGTTTGACCTATGGAAAAGAAATATTTTATATAAAGGGAAATACTACTCTACAAAAACATCTTATCTCACTCACTTCACCTCAGTCGACAATCTTTTCTCAGAGTAACAATCTGCTCTATCACCCTCTCAGCTATGTGTTATTTAATTTATTATACTGAAGGCTCTGTCATTATTGTCTTTTAAATTGAAAGTACTTAACTATGACGTCATGTACATAATAACGTTACAGTTATTAGAAAAACAACAAAATTGAAGCAAGATGGATTTTTGTTTATGTCGAAAGTCGATGAAAAAGGTCGGATTCTGAAACGTAAAAATTGAGCATTATTCATTTAAACTATTGATGAAAATTCAATAGACAACTTTTGAGTTCGTTATATTTCTGTCAAAAACTTTGGTTTTAGTTAACATCATTCGTGCGTTTAGGGGCATCGTCACTTCCTTCTCAAGTTGAGCAAGCGGTTGAAAAAATATGATGCTATATTGCACGAATTATTCGGCAAATTAAATTCTTATAATTGATAATCAGTACTTAGGGAATTGTGATTAAGTACCTACGGAACAAACATTATTTCTTGTTTATCCTGCATAATGACGATCACGAAGACGCTAGATGAACTTTAATAGTGCAGGGATACAGGCGATCCCCTCTATCTGGTAAATGATGTCATAAAGGAGTGCATAATTGACAAACTTTTCCTGTGAAGGGCATAACTCTGGAGTGGTCTATTCATTGTCCTTTAAATGATCAATTTTTATATGTTTGCACGAGAGGGTGACATTAAAAAAATTGTCTCCCTCTGAGCCACGGGATAGATTAAATAATCACCCTTATATTAACTAATCAAAATCTAGCATGTTGATATGAAGTATAATTAAAAATTCGTAAGGGTTCCACGGAACCCAGTGTCTCGCCTACTTTTTCTGTTAATCGTAGGCTCAACAAAAATGAGGAAGTAAATCAATAAAAATATTCCTCATGATACTATCTTTTGATTGCAAGAAGCTTCTGTCCAAGTTAGGTAAAAATCCAGGATAGTTTATGAATCTAAATGTTTAAAAACTTTAACTGCAGACAGAATGTAATGTTAACTGGAAGAAAACAAAATTTCCTTCTAGATACTAGCATTTGATCATAAACAAGCTTCTGTCCAAGTTTGGTACAAATCCAAAATAGTATAAGAAAGTTATTAAAATTTTAAAAACTTTAACCGCAGAGTAAATGCGTTGTTTCCTGGCAGAAAATCTAAGTCCATTTAAAAGTAAAATACGGAAAAAATGGATTTATTTTTTAACAAAATTTCCTTCTAGATACTAGCTTTTGATCATAAACAAGCTTCTGTCCAAGTTAGGTACAAATCCAAAATAGTATAAGAAAGTTATTCAAAATTTTAAAAACTTTAACCACAGAGTGAATGTGTTGTTTCCTGGCAGAAAATCTAAGTCCATTTAAAAGTAAAATAAGGAAAAAATGAATTTATTTTTTTACAAAATTTACTTCTGGATACTATCTTATGATCATAAGCAAGCTTCTGTCCAAGTTTGGTAGAAATCCAGGAGAGTTTAAGAAAGTTATTAAAATTTCAAAAACTTTAACCACAGAGTGAATATTTGTGGACGCCACCGCCGACAACGCCGACGGAATGTAGGATTGATATGTCTTGCTTTTTCGACTAAAGTCAAAGGCTCGACAAAAATATAACTGCTGTTAAATTTTTTAGGTGTGAAACCTCTACCTGGTACCAACAAGTGAAACTTCGAGCTACTGCTCATTGATGATACCCCCGACCAAATACTTGACGGTAAACAGGAAGTTGTTGAATGATGAATCTGAAAACGCATCACACAGTATAGCTGATTTATATAAACCTTGAAACCAAATTTCAGAAATCCTTTTGATGTAGTTCCTGAGAAAAATGCGATGAAAAATATTCAAGGGACAGATGGACGGATAGACGGACGGATGGACGGACAGACAGAGGAAAAACAGTATATCCCCACTTTTTTAAAGCGGGGGTATAATTAACTGAGAAAACTCTTCCACAAAATGAAAATAATAACAATAAAAAGCAATCGTATAACATTATTTATCTTTTTTAAATTCACAAAATAGATGCATGGATACCATAATTTAATAAGCTTTGTACATTTTACATAAAAATGAATATAGAGCCATGAAGGAGAACAAGTTATTTGTTTATGTTACGGTTTAAGTTATGAGGAACAACCCAAACTACAGTATTAAGTAAGAAACTAAAAACAAATATTACAGAACTTCAAAAATAAAGATAAAACATGCTTTTAACACAAAAATTGAGTGAATATTTGATGAATGACTTCATTGCTTTTCTACCACAATATTTTCTGTAACTTACTCCTCCAATGTTTACTAAATTCTGATTGGTCTGCTGTATGATAAGTGAGATAATGAATGGATGTGTTGTTGCTATTGAAACAAGAAGGTCTCTTCCTAACTTGTGACACATTTCTCTTGTCTCTGCACAGACATAGCAAATCTGAAAAGAAAGGGACAGAATGTCAAAAAAAGAAAAGGAAAAAATGTAAGAAAATAACCTATAATTCATTTCTAAGATGTACTATTAGGCCATAATATTCTCTTTCTCCATCAATTAAAATGCCAACAAAGTTCAGACCTGAACAATTATTTCACTGATGTCATGTTTTATTTACCTTTATCAAGGAAAATGTCATTGATTTTTAAGTCATTGGCTTACTGTTTCATTAGATGTATATCTAATCCAGCATCTCTTTTTATTTGTATCACTTGTCTTGCAGATACAAATTGTATATATGTTTTTAATCTTTCAATTCATGCCATTGTGCATTCTTACAAACGTCAACTGAATTCACCATTTTTTAATACATATATATTATTTTCAGAAGCGATTAAATCCAGAAAATGTGAATTCATGTATACATTAGGTACCCTCAAATAATTATTCAAATATCAAGAATACAAACCAATTGTGTATTACATATTATGATTTAAAAAATTCATAAGGGTTCCGCGGAACCAAGTGTCTCGCCTACTTTTGCTGTTAGTCGCAGGCTCAACAAAAATTGGGAAAAAATTATTAAAAATTTTCCTTTAGATACTATCTTTAGATTGTAAGAAGCTTCTGTCCAAGATTGGTAAAAATCCAGGATGGTTTATGAATCTAATAAATGTTTTAAAAACTTTAACTGCAGACTGTATGTAATGTTAACTGGAAGAAAAACTAAGTCCATTTATAAGTAATATACGGAAAAACAAGAAATAAATTTTACAAATTTCCTTCTAGATACTAGTTTTTGATCATAAACAAGCTTCTGCCCAAGTTTGGTACAAATCCAAGATAGTTTAAGAAAGTTATTAAAATTTTAAAAACTTTAACCACAGAGTGAATGTAATGTTAACTGGCAGAAAAACTAAGTCCATTTATAAGTAAAATACGGAAAAACAGGATTTTTTTTTTTACAAAATTTACTTCTGGATACTATCTTATGATCATAAACAAGCTTCTGTCCAAGTTTGGTAGAAATCCAGGATAGTTTAAGAAAGTTATTAAAACTTCAAAAACTTTAACCCCAGAGTGAATATTTGTGGACGCCGACAACGACGATGAAATGTTGGATCGCTATGTCTCACTTTTGCGACAAAAGTCGCAGCCTCGACAAAAAGGAAAGAAAAAAGTAACCGGTAAGTTTTTAAGTAAATACAGAAAAAGGTTTAATTGGTCAACAACCTCATCCCTCCTTTATGAAAATTCACAAAATATAAATATATTAGTTATAATTCTTACAATATTCATACAACCAATAGTATGTCACATATCAACAATTATGTATTTGAATTGAATGTGAAACTGAGGAAATTCTCATTCTGACATACGTTCATTAAGTTTTAAAAATAAGCACCAGCCTCACCAAAAATAATATTCGGCCAAAAGATATTTATGTGATGAAAATATCAAATTGAGTAAAACTGAAGCTCAAATCTTATTGTACAAAAGCTGTCTAAAAATTGTCCATTCATATTCAATTTGTATCAGATCTTTGCATAATATCCCATTTTGGACAAAAATATTAATTATCAATAAGTTTTAATGTGACTGTGACATCATAATATGACATTTATGTAGTAAAATTGCTCGATTTTAATAAAATAAAATTTATTTGATTCTAAAATATAAAAATAAGAAGATGTGGTATGATTGCCAATGAGACAACTCTCCACCAGTGACCAAATGACATAGAAAGTACCAACTGTCTTCAACAATTAACAAAACCCATACTGCATAGCAAGCTATAAAAGGCACCAAAATGACAAATGTAAAACAATTCAAAGGGGAAAACTAACGGCCTGATATATGTACAAAACAATAAAAGAAAATCAATGTGATATACAGCAACAAACGACAACCACTGAATTACAGGCTCCTGATATTGATTTTAAATGGTCATTTGAGTTTGATGGTTTTTTGTCCAATTTATGGACCAGATAATGTGTTTTATCACATCTCCTCCATACAGAATCAATCTCCTCCATACAGAAACAAATGATCAAATATCAAAATCTTTACATTACTAACAATTTATCATTATTAACTTTATGTATATTCATTCCTAAGCTAACCTCAAACAGTCTGAATGACACAGCTTGAATAAAATCAAATTCTCTAGGTGGTCGACAAGATGCCATATGAGCAAGTGCAGTCAATAGATAAATAGTCTCTGCTGAGATCATGGATGTGTGAACAATATCTGCCAACTGCATGGTACTAAAACAGTCTGAAAAGTAGTTAGTAATATTCTTTAAAAAACATTTCTCAGAAAAGTATATCTGAAATTATTTCTCAGATCTGTATGACTATGTTAATTATGCATAGCAATTCTAATAACTTTTCCTGGTGAGGGTGTCAAACAAATATTTTGAGACAAAAAGTGAATAAGGGAACACATATTGAATAATAATAGGTGAGTGCCAGGGGTAATTTGGAACTTTAACATGAGATAAAACTATCATAGTTGGTGCATACAAAAAATAATCTTAAATGACTTTCCAATTTGGCATTTTGGAATCTGATACATTCTGGGTAATAATTTCAAAAGCATACACATAAAAGTTGTGATTGGTTAAATACGTCCCAAACAATAAACAATAGAAATTCAACCAATGATGTAATGTTATCATTATTTTGGGGTTCGAACAATGAGATTACCCATAGTTCTTTAGATTCTGAAATGGTGAATTCTAAATGTAAAACATGGATATGCATCAAACAAAGTTTGATAAACAAAAAAGTGTATCAATAGATAATTCTTTCAAGATTGCATGAAATTCTATATTACATGCTCATATTTATTGTGTATTGTGCTCTTCATTTTCTCTTTATCATTTGATACACTTTTCAAAATAATTAGAGGATTTTTGGTAATAACTTCGAAGTGAAGCAGTAAAATTGTTGTAGAAAACAAAACAGAAGATAGTACCAATCTTCTGAAACTATAGTAATAATCTTTGGGGTCAGAATAGGTCAACATGATGGATAAGTCTTTTAGCTTCCTTGACTGAAGGTACCAATAACTTCAATTGTTTATGCAAGTCCTTTGGAGGTAGAACAACTAAAGCTCTAAAACTCTTCTTATTTAGAAAATACAACAATGAATAATGTAAAAATTTCAATGGAGTAAGACTTGGGAGTAACAAATCAATAGCTGCTTTGAGATGAGACATTCTGATTCCAATGCAACAGCATCAAAAATGATAAACTTAACATAATTATCTTAATTTTTCTCTTAAATCCAGGCAAAATATGTAAAATCTCTGTCATAAAAATAAGAAGATGTAGTATGTTTGGTAATGAGATAACTTACCACCAGTGACTAAATGACAAAGAAGTTTTCTAAAGTATAATCTTAACAACATTATGTTTTTACCATTTATGTATTCTCTACATTTGTTTTCTGTTGGCAGACTATCAATATCTATATTTTGATTGGTGCCCTGATGTAATAACCATAGCAACTTCCACATGGTTTCCCTGGAAACTGTAGCATATGAGGTATTGGTCATAAACTGCCATGATCCTAACCTGTAAATAACAAGTTAAATCAGATATATGGAATACATCTAAAACAAATCCTGTAAACATAGTAAAAAATAGGAGAGGAAATATACCAATTTTTATGTTGTTTCATGGCCTTGCACAATGCATTTAAATGGAACAGTAAAATGTTCATGTCAGGTAAATTTTGGTATAAAAAGGCAAAAAATTGGACACACAGGAAATTGTCCCCATATACATTAATCAGATAACATATTAAAACCTAGTATACCTCTAAAATTTTAACATATATGTTTTCAATCAGAAATCTTGCATTTAAATATCTTAACTTTAAAATTTGATTTATAAAGTGTCTACTTATATCCAGATATATAAGCAGGTATCTCATATTTTAATAGATATGTAAACAGTTATCTGTCTTAATAGCTATGCAAACAGGTATCTCTCCTTTTAATAGATAATGCAAACAGGTATCAACAGTTATTTCCAATTTGAATAGATAATTCAAACACGTATCAACAGCTATCTCCCATTTTAATAGCTATGTAAACAGTTATCTCCCATTTTGATAGCTATGTTAGCAATTATTTCCTATTTCAATAGCTATGAAAACAGGTTTCTCCCATTTCAATAAATATGTAAAAAGTTATATCCCATTTTAACAGCTATGTTAGCAGTTATAGATATGTAAACAGTTATCTCCCATTTTTCTAGCTATGTAAACAGTTATCTCTTATTGGAATCATTATACTATAACCCAGTAAGTAAAACAACTTCAGAAGCTCCTAAATCTTATCGAGGCCACATACATAAAAGCTTTAATTGATAAATTTAGATCTTTTAAAATTCCTTTAATCTTTTTATAATACATAGCCCCTCTATCCTCACTTCCCCATTCCTAATAAACTGTCATTCCTAAGTTTCATCGTTTGAATACAAAAAGTCATTCTTGGATTAAACGTCTTCATGAGTTCATATACAATTTTAAAAGTATATATATTGCAAATCAGCACTTTTTTCTTTCCATTTTTTTCATTTGTTCATTATTTATCTATCTAATTTATCATTATTTGCTCATATTTTTCTGTTTTCAAACCATTTTTTAAAGATTGGGATGTCTAATTCTATTGCAGGAGAAAATGATATTTTCCAAAAAAAAAATATTGTTGAAAATCTTTAACTTTAACGATTTTTTCACACTTTTCTTTAATTTTTGATAAGCATTTACATCTTTATAATGCCACTCACACAATAAAGTAATACATACTTTTGAGAGGTAAGTATACAGTTTGTAGCCCTGAGAAAGAACTGGTCATACTCTAGTTGGAGTCTGTGAACCATATCTTCTGGTAAACTATTATGTGACAGAAAACTCTCTAAATGGTTGGATACATATCCAACTACTTCTCTGTAGAAAGAAAACAACATTGTTATTCTAAAGTAGCATGTTACTCATAATTCAAAAGGATGGAACTCCAATAACTTTTTTATAAACATCAATTTACTAATTATTTAGGTATTTCAGAAAGAGACCTTTTGATTTTTTTTGCGGTCAAAATCTGTTGAAAATATCATTTATATGGAGAATTCCATGGCATTCCCTTGATTGTTTCTGTACATTTATTCACAACTTTAATGTATTTTGTTTTTGTTTTGGGTTGCTGTCTCATTGACAGATACCTCAAATCTCCTTTAATACATACTGTGGATTCATTTATTTTTGTGGGTACCAATTTTTTTCGTGGAATGAGGAAATAATGTACTTAAGTGGTTATTTGGTGCTGTTATCCTGGTACAAGTTTAAGCAAGTTTTCTTAGTCAGGAATAATTTTAGTTATTGATAGTTTATTTCAGGGTTTTGCAAAAGTCTGAATACAAGCCAATACAAAATTTATACTTTGTTAAACATTTAAACTTGTGGTTAACCTTTGCCTATGAAATCAACGAAAATTTTTATCTCACGAATAATAAAGAATTCACAGTAGTTGAGATGGCGTCCTAACAGTTTTTAACATAATATACATTTTTAAGAATTATAATGCCTTTATAAGTTTACCTTTGGCTTCCGTTTTCGATCTCAACTAAAATTCATCAATATAAACCAAACCAACAACATAAATATTGTAAATACTTAGATGTGATATTGCTAACAAGGCAGATAAATACCAGGTATTTCAATGTGTCCTGCTTTGCATTATGTTAAGGGACCAGAAACAGTTGATAATAGGGTGACACTTTCTGTCATTACCTGATGGCTCCTCCTATTCTTTTGTTGAGCTGTCTATATCTTGCCATGTTGTATGTCTGTAAACCTTCCCCTAATATTCTAATGAGACACGTACTGAATGCCAGTTGTTTTATAAAAGTTGACTCTGTAGTTCTATGTATATCATATTGTAAATTGTCTACAAAACAGTAAAAAATATGGACTTTTAAAACAATTCACGATGCTGATATAGATTTTTAAAAGTTTAAAGGCTTATATCAGAGTGTGAAAAAAAGCATGCTATTATTATTATCAGATAAAGATCTTTGAGCTAGGTTCAAGTAAAATGCAAGCCTTCCTTGGTAGGGTATTAAAAAGAACTATCTGTATGTCATTGTGTTCAAATCTTCTGAGATACAGATAAAACTACTGTTATCTTACTACAAGTTTAAGTAAGTTTCCTTAGTCAGTAGTTTTAGTGATTGATAGTTTATTTCCCTTTGATTTTGTCTGGTGAGAATTTTGTTTTCATGTCAGATCTTTATTCCTTCAAAAAAATTTGTCCAACTTAATTTGAAGTGATTTAGATTTGCCACACAGTGTAGTACAATGAACTGCCAATTTCCCGTTTTTCTTCTGTTGTTGGATTGCTATGTCATTGATATCAATCCAACATCTCTATTCATTCCTATTACCGGGTATTATAGGTTATTTGATAAAAATTGAAGGAAGTCCAATATTCTAGAATAAATATATAACTAGAATGTTACCCCATGATATTTTTTATATATATAAAACGTTTTCCTGAATATGACTCCTTACCTTTAAAGTATCCCTAAACTGGATTCAATATAAAACAATTTTAGAAAATGTTAACAATAGACTCAGCTATTTAAGCAAATCATTGTATTAAATCTAAAAGAAAACAATATCATACCTGATCCAGTAATCAGTAAAATGTGTTTAAACATCTCTGACACTGGAAACTGTTTTAAAATGGCAACAAAATCATTCTCCAGTAAATATTTCCATGCATTCTTTGGATCTTCATCCTACGGTAAAGATTTAATGCATACTGGTAATTCAATACTTTCAAAGTACAAAACATATATATACTTAAATCAAATGTAACGATGTCTAGATGTTAGAAATATCAGGAAATAAATAACAAATCAACACACATTAGAAATTTGAACATCTAAAGGATATTGATAAATCAAAAACAAATTGGACTCTACCATGTTAATGTACCTGTTTCACTTCCCATGCTAGGAGCTGTCTTGAGTCATTTCTTAGTGCTTTTTGCCCTTTAAAAAAATTGGGGTTGATAGAAGATCGTTGTAAGTATCTGTAAAGTTAATTTCCATGTTGTCTAGACTTCGTGCAAATCTTCACTTGAGGTATGGTACAGAGACACTTGTCTGTCTTTAAGACTGAATGTTGACAGTCATTTTTTGTTGTTTGATTTGTAAAAAAATACTCAATTTTTCCTTCTAATGCATATGAACCTGTAGTTAACTCGTTTAAGTAATGTGTTTAATATACCTCTTCTCCATCACAGTTTATGAGTACCCAGGGATTTGTAACCTGTTGGGGATCAGGACTAGTATTAACAGCCTCCTTCATCAGACAAACAAAGTCCTCTCTTGATCTGTAAAACACAATCATTATATTTATTTGAAAACTTTTCATAAAATAGTTCTGTGATTCTTCTAATCAGAAAAGATTTAAGTTTTAAATAAACATTTTGATTTTAAATTGATTAATATTTCATGTTTGCCATTTTTGTATTCTTAAAAAATATGAAGAGATGAAAGTTTTAACAGTAACATACATATTTGGCATTAAATAAATAAGTGATGTTTAGAAACTGTCAATGAGATAAGGGATTTCTTTTATTTACTAACTCAATGAGTGAATTGTGCATCTCTGCAAAATGCTCCTTGTAAAACTCATATGATATAACTTTATCAAACATGAACTTCATAATTATCTCTTACAATTGTTTTAACATTTTGACAGAATTAGAATATACCATCTACAATGGGAGATAATTTGTGAACAAAACAAATACCTGCAAGGAGAGAATTTAAAAGAGTTATTGAATAGCAAAACTAAATCAAGTACTAACGACTTAAAATGTAGTAAACTCTTTATCAGCTCAATATAAAGTTTTGTAATCTGTGACATGAGTCATTGACTCTTGTTGAGCTATTCAAAATCAGTAAATAAATATATATGAAAGTTTAACAGAATTGCTTTTACAAACAACTCTTTATTCCTACCTTATTGGTGTAAGTACAAGAGCTAAACAAGCTATATAATGGTCTAACGCAGGATTCCCAAAGCTAGTCACAGACTGTGGGATAGCTGGCATCTGTATGAAGTTGGCTGCCCAAGTCCCAACACCAGCTGGACATCGTAATATATGATTAAGAATAAACATATGGTCATCAAATGATGCTACTTTTACCAAGGCAGAAACCTAAAAACAAATATATATAAAATGAAGATGGATGGATGGCAAATCAAATGCATATTCAGGAAAAGAACATAATAAAGTGATATGAGTTTATACCCTCCTATGTACTAGATTGATATGAAGTTGGCTGCCCAAGTCCCAACACCAGCTGGACATCGTAATATATGATTAAGAATAAACATATGGTCATCAAATGATGCTACTTTTACCAAGGCAGAAACCTAAAAACAAATATATATAAAATGAAGATGGATGGATGGCAAATCAAATGCATATTCAGGAAAAGAACATAATAAAGTGATATGAGTTTATACCCTCCTATGTACTAGATTGATATGAACTTATACCCACCTTTGTACTAGATTGATACTCTGAGCTGGATTTTTAATGTGCTAGTTCACAAGGTAACAGTCCGCAGGTAAACATGTCATCCATCCAGGCACACAGTTCTGACTCTGAGCACACCAGTCTTTGCTCTCACTCCTTAATTCTGTGTGCTTAGTAGAGAAGCAGCAAATAGCAATTTTCAAGTCTTTGGTTTGACCCGGCCAGGGTCCAAACTCACGACATATCCCACTCCAGGCAAATACACTACCACAAGACCACAGAGGTGGTCAAAGATGAAGACATCAAGTAACTGTTGTTTAAATTGGATAATGCCAGTAACTAAATTGACAGATTTATTAATTTTATTTAGTTTTCCAAGCTAAGAACTGGAATTTCATATAATTTTGATATACAAATAAACATACAACTTCAGGAAACCATTAAAAAAATCAGCACAATCTGATGGCATTTTTAAAAATCAATGAGAAAAGAAATATTTAAGAGCTTTTAATTTATAACTATTACTGTAAAAACGCATCTAAAGTTTAAAACAACTGATAAAATAATCATAAAGCTAATTACCAGTCTCTGAGTCCATCCTCTTGTGTTGATAACAAATTCATTATCACTAACCGGTCTGCGATGGAACATATAAAGCACAGTTATACAGTCTCTCAATCTGTTTATCTGGTGTTGATTATTAGGACTGTGTAATCCTAAAGCTATAAAAGTAAACATAAAAGCATATAACTATATAATAAAGAATTAAACCAGAGTATAGTGTTGTGCATTCACTACAAGATCAACGTAAATTGTAATATAATATACAATGTATTTGCAGACAGACATAAATAAATAATGCAATACTGTAAATTCAGAAATTATTGCGAGGTTTTTATTATTACTAATAATGCGACTGGGTAAACATCGCAATAATAAGAACTCGCATTCTGATATATGAGAGATATATCTGTATGCAGCTTTTCCACAAATCGCAATAATTAATCTCGCAATTTTGTTCATTCTGCAAAAATCGCAAAAATAAATGCATGCAATAATTTCTGAATTTACAGTAATCAAAAACATAAATCAATGTAAGCTAGGAATATCACATATACAGGGTGGATCTGTTATCAAGGTTCTGAGTTGGCAGGTGGGAAATAAAAAGTCAAGACTAACTTCTCTGTATCAACTCTTTTGAAGCAAAGTTCACATTTGTCAAGTGCTAAAAAGTTTCCTTTTATAGTTACCGCAGAAATTGTCTGTGCAAAAAATTCAATACTGCCTTATTTCAAGTTTTTGTAATCATTCTGCCTTGTTTCTGTGCTTAGTTAATAATTGTTTATAGTACAGTACTCCGCAATAAGTATTCGTAAAAACAACAATTGCGGTCACGTCATGGAAGGGTAAACAAGTTTTTACCATCGTCTCCATGGCACAATCGGGATGACAATGAATCTATATATAGGTGGTTCTGTAGAAAAAAATGTGCATATCATGTGACACGTGCGTGATGACGTCAGTCGTCTGCACTTACGTTGTAGATAATGTAAACAAATGGGTCGCAAGGGAAAAGAACTGACATCTGATCAGAAAAGTCGTCTTGCTGCATTAAATGATGCAGGTTACAGAAAAAGTGAAATTGTCAAATTGACAGGCATCAAACAGAGTACCGTTTACAGTTTTTTGAAGAGGTAATAACATCGGGGTGATTAGAAAACATTCGGAGATCAGGATGACCAAAATCCTTTCATGACAGAGACATGAGAAAACTTTCCCATTGTGTAAAAAAACATCGCCATAAATCTTTATCTGAAATTACTAATATTTTTAATGAAAGCATTGATCGACCTTTCTCAAAAAGAACAGTTGAACGTAAATTACATTCTGAGGGGTTCCACATGCGGTCAGTAAAGAAAAAAATTTGTATCCGTGAGGTCAACAAGAAAAAACAAGTGGCATATTGCAGAGGAAATTTACATAAAACTGTGAATGCACATAGGAGTAAAGTAATTTTCAGCGATGAATGCAAGGTAGTCATTGGGCAGGATTCTCGTGTCAGTGTCTGGAGAAAGGTCGGAGAAGAGTGGTTGACGGATTGTATTTGCCCTCTGTCTCAGCACAAGTATAGTTTAATGATCTGGGGATGTATTACTTACCATGGTGTCGGAACTATAACTGGTGTTGAAGGGAACATAAATGCCTTAAAATACATTGACATAATTGACAATAAGTGGTTGTTAGTCATTTTCCCGATAATGACTACATTTTTCAAGATGACAATGCCCCCGTCCATCAAGCCCGTTCCGTTCAAGATTTTCGTATGGAAACGGGGTTAAAAAGCATGAACTGGCCAGCTCAGAGTCCTGACCTTAATATTATTGAGAACTGTTGGTGGGTTTTAAAAAGAGAACTATAATCAAAGCGCGAAATCGCTGTAAAGGCAGTTAATTACAGGTTGTGTGTATTTTTAGTCCAGTTATATCATCATCTTGCATAGTACATTGTACTTATCAGAGGTGGCTTTCAGTATTTAAGATTTAGAGTTCTCTAATGATATTGAACAAGTTTTATGAATGTCATATTCTGAGCACTATATGAAGGCGATTGTTCTCACTTGTTTATGAACTAGTGCATTATGTCCAGTTAGTACCTTTTTTATCTATGTTTATAGTCAAATACTGTTTAAAATAGTTTGGCATTTTCTTTTAAGTAATAAGTAAATGTTATCAACTGTATTTTATTCAACTTTGCAAATGTGGTTTGTTACTGGTAAGTACAATGTATGGATGATAGTTGTTTCATTGGCAATCATAACACATCTCCTTATTTATATAATGATCTATATTCAACGACCTCAGGTACAAAAAAAATGTATGTAACTTAACTATGATGGGAAACCTTTGACTTCTTTCTTTAATATAAACTTTTGATTTGGTACCATAGAACTATGTAGAATAAATGTACATTGCAACATGTCAACTCTTTCAATGACAATACTTTTTTTAGAAACTATAACTCCAAGCAAAATTATATTTCCAAGTATAAAGTAATTTATGAATGAACAAGAGTGCACACGCTGAAATGTCTCGCCTTCTTTACTAATCATTGATATTATGTTGATAGTCCTAAATATAAAGCTTTATTACAACTGTCACATAAACTTAACATTAACCAAGTAAACTAAACATTGACCAATGAACCAAGAAAATGAGGTCAAGGTCAGATGAACCATGCTAGGCAGGCATGTACAGCTAACAATTCTTCCATACAACAAATATAGTTGACCTATTGCTTATAGTTTAAGAAAAACAGACCAAAACACAAAAACTTAAAACTGAGCAATGAACCTTGAAAATGAGGTCAAGGTAAAAAAAAACCTGCGTGACTGACATATAGATCATAAAATATTTCCATACACCAAATATAGTTGAACTATTGCATATAGTATTAGAAAAAAAGACAAAACTCAAAAACTTAACTTTGACCACTGAACTGTGAAAATGAGGTCAAGGTCAGATGACACCTGCCAGCTAGACATGTACACCTTACAATCATTCCATACACCAAAATTTGGTAGACCTATTGCATACAGTATAAGAAAAACAGACCAAAACACAAAAACTTAACTATAACCACTGAACCATGAAAATGAGGTCAAGATCACATGACACCTGCCAGTTGGACATGTACACCTTACAGTCCTTCCATACACCGAATATACTAGACCTATTGCTTATAGTATCTGAGATATGGACTTGACCACCAAAACTTAACCTTGTTCACTGATCCATGAAATGAGGTCGAGGTCAAGTGAAAACTGTCTGACGGGCATGAGGACCTTGCAAGGTATGCACATACCAAATATAGTTATCCTATTACTTATAATAAGAGAGAATTCAACATTACAAAAAATCTCAACTTTTTTTTCAAGTAGTCACTGAACCATGAAAATGAGGTCAAGGACATTGGACATGTGACTGACGGAAACTTCGTAACATGAGGCATCCATATACAAAGTATGAAGCATCCAGACCTTCCACCTTCTAAAATATAAAGCTTTTAAGAAGTTAGCTAACGTCGCCGCCGGATCACTATCCCTATGTCGAGCTTTCTGCGACAAAAGTCACAGGCTCGACAAAAAGGAGTTCTTAATAAGTAATAAACTGATTCGCTGAGCGCAGCTGGATACACCCACAGAGGTCCAACCCTGAACAGTTGAGGCAAAAATGGACACAATATTCAAGCTTGATACAGGTCTGAATTTAATTGTAATTAAATATTTGACATATTATAGTTTCTGAATAAATGTAGTCAAAGAACTTGAAATCGGTTATATGAATTGAATTTATATTCAGTTAAAGATTTCTTGCTGTTGTGCAATACACTGTGCTGTTGTGCAATACTTAATAAATCTGTTGCCAGACTATAAACAAATAAAGTTCAATTTCTTCTCAATGTCATATTTGAAATTTATGAAAATCAATAGGGAGATTACATCAATAGCTATAAATAATTCACCAAAGTTTCATGCGAACTGCTTAAAGCATTTTTGAGTTGTTGTCCAAAAACTGGAAAATCCCCCCCTTTTTAATGAATAAAACCCCATAACTCAATAATGTAAAATCTAAAATTTATAAAATTCTAAAGGGAGCTTACGGATTGATAATTTAGTCTTAGATGCAAGATTTTTTTATCAGTTGTTTGTGGCTTTGAACTAGCTGTCAGTAAATGCGAGTACTCTCAGATCTGTACTTAGTGTCTTTTTGTTGTTTGGATGTACAACTACCCGGCCACGTCCACTTGTATTTGTATTTATCCATCTGATGAGTTAAGCCTCTTTCAACTGATTTTTATAGTTCGCTCTTATATTGTACTGTTACACCACTGTCCCAGGTTAGGGGGTGGGTTGGGATCCCGCGAACATGTTTAACCCCGCCACATTCTGTATGTACATGTATGTGCCTGTCCCAAGTCAAGAGCCTGTAATTCAGTGGTTGTCGTTTGTTTATGTGTTGCATATTTGTTATTCGTTCATTTTTTGTACATAAATTAGGCCGTTAGTTTTCTTGTTTGAATTGTTTTACATTGTCATTTCGGGGCCTTTTATAGCTCACTGTGCGGTATGTGCTTTGCTCATTGTTGAAGGCCGTACTGTGACCTATAGCTGTTAATTTCTGTGTCATTTGGTCTCTTTTGAAGAGTTGTCTCATTGGCAATCATACCACATCTTCTTTTTTATATTTACATCAACAGATATAAACAATTCACCAAAGTCAAGGTGAGACAACAAAACTTAGTTGTAAGATCTCTGAAATTATTTACACGGTACAAGTTTTTCTAATTGTTGGAGATTGTATGGTGACAGTAACACCTGTAACTGCTTAACCCATTTCTTATGCACTTTGGTTCGATAAACTCACTGAATATCATACCACATCTCCTTATTTTTATATGCATTACAATTTACATGTGCATGTAATTGTAAATAATATTTATATATATATATATCAGAACAAACTTCATTGCGTCACTTTTATTTATGCATCCTTTGGCACAATACAAGTTCTAAAATTACACAACATAAAACAACTAAATGTTATTTCAGATGAAAGTTTTGTTTCAGTTCCATTCATAGGATTTATTAGAATTTTGTATGTTTTGCCAAGTCCAATAATTAGCTCTATGTGCACGTGTTAATTGGAGACTTTTCTATCCCGTA